AGCAGTAGTTCTAAAACTGTAACTTGTGTAATTGTATGAGCGAGTGTGAAATAAAATTCGCTATATCAAATACGGCGTGAAGTTATCTGTCGCGTTATACGCCCAATACGTGACAATATTTTCACAAATTCATAAATTAAAAAGAAGTTTCCAAAGATGTTAAGGTTAACAGTATTTCACACCAAAATATAATAATTGTGAAACTGTAATGATATAAGCTGAAACGTAACTATTATGTGTGGCACGCGGTAGAATAGTTGCTTGAGGCATTATGCTAGAAGCCGAAAGGTCGCAGTTTCGATTCCCGATGAGGTCATTAGATTTTTCAATTAACCTAATCCTTCCAGCCGCACTATGGCCCTGGGGTCGACTCAACCTCTAACAGAAATGAGTACCAGGAATCTTCCTGGTGGTAAAGAGCGGCCGGCGCGTAGGCTCACAACCTCACCGCCATCTGTGAGCCGATTGTCTAGAAAATGTGAGAGCCTCGATGTCTCACAGGCGTATGGGCCTCCACGGCCTGTTACACGGATAACTTTACATTTACCTAACAATGGCTGTACCCCCTGCAAATATGCTAGCCGTCCGTCCCGCTCGATGATGGCGGAGATCCAATGTGGCCGAAAGGTTGCCGACCCCTGGCCCACAGCAACAGACAGCTTATCTCGAACTGTGTTGCCGGAAGACGGGAAATGGCAGATACCAAGGGGCCCGTTCGTTCACTTTTGTTGGACTATCAGAACTCCACAAGACAGAAAACTGTGTCTGGTTTGTCTGTGCGACTTCCGTGCCCAGTGAAACGCACGCAAAGTGACTGTTACTGCATTGGGTGTAGTCTGGAGAGTCCGACGTTTCGGAGGAACATGTCTCCCCCATCTTCAGACTTACTGCTGCTTCTGCTGGCTTCTTGTACTGCTTGACCTTCGACTGTAGATTGTCACCTCTGGGAAGCGAAACAGCCGTCACTCCCCCCCCCCCGCTAACTTATTTACGGATGCTCGTTAGTCAGGACATGGCATTGTCTGTAATTATATTAATTAGCATAATGTACTGTCCGTGTTTCGAGACCTGGCCACTCTCAGCAGAATGAGCAGTGGATTCGGTCGAGTTCACTGCGATGAGGACTGTAGGGTGTGTATGGGCTATAGCAGGGCTTTGGTTACAGTGCGTCACCCTTCTTCACTCCCAAAATGCAGCTGCAACCAGTGCCCCGCATTTTCCACACATTTCCTTACGCCAGTCGTTTCCAAACTTCATATAATGGCGGTCCTTCGGTTTGGCAACGCTGTCATTGAGTTCCCTTTATGTGTATACGGAACCGATTTTTCGGGGTTTCGTTTTTAAAATCATAATTTTTTATTTATTTTTTCTAAATTTTTATCAGAGTTTTACAAGTGTTGACATTTTGAGAATCCTAATATATTTCGAGTTTTACAGAACCTTTCCGGTTTACTGCCTCTCCCCTCCCCACTTTGGAGAGCAGTGTGTTGCCAGGTCTACAATCACTGACTGTACGCTATTTGCTGAGCCAGTATTCTGCGCTGCCGCCAGAGAGTGAGAGTTCCGAAACGTCTTATGTTTTAGCGTTGACGTTTCAATGCAAGCGAGAAGCATGTAACCATTGTCAGGCCTGGAGTAAGGAGAAACGGGTTTCACACGCTTCTCACTCGGAAAACTGGCGCAGAAAACAAAAGTGAATTCCATGCAACAATAGCCGGACGTTGCTATGGCAACACGAAAGAAAGTAATGCGCCTTGTTTTACAATTGTGAGAAAACACGCGAGCCATTATCGTAACACTTAATTAAAAGTCTTTCTGGGAACACTCACACGCACGAAATTCGCTTCAACTGACTTCTTTTGTTTCTGTGTTTCTTGCCTTCCAGGAGGCCGGGATAGCTCAGTCAGTATAGTGACTACCGAGCGGGTTGGCGTAGCGCTAAAGCTATTGCCTTGAATTCGGGAGATGCTCGTTTCGAATCTCAGCTGTGACACCGGTTATCCTGAGCTCTTCCATATTTTTCCTCAGTCCCACCAGGAGAATACCCGAACAGTATCTCGAACAGGCCACGACCACTCCGTTACACAGCCTAGCATCTTACCATTCGACGCCATATAATCTAGATATTGACAGATTCGTGAAATAACCTAGAAATAATATTGTCTAGGCTACGCGCTGGTTGACAGTAGAATCGGGGTTCGATTCCCGGCAGACCGACTCTGGGTTCAATCCAGTTTTTTGTCCTATTGGTTCCTGGAGCTCTGCTCCCGGTGGTGAAGCGACCGGGGCGTGAAGCTAATCACTCACCTGTATCTAGTGTCGAAGTTAAGAATGTCTGGAGTTATATCCCAACTCCTCCATACGTCTTCATGACGTGATGCTTAATTAATTAAGAACAGGGACAATTCCGTGCGATTAAATTACCGACAACCTGTGGATCAGTCTTCTGCACTTGAGAGAATGTTGTTAAATAGCTCTAGAAACATTAAGATGTGCCTTGGACCGCGCGGCTAGTGTCATCGCTACGTCATCATAACGTGACGTCTTTTGCTCGTCTCCGGTTTCTGAGCGCGCCCGGTTTGTGCTCTGTCATGGGGAACGGGCAATTGTCACTCTCTTGGCGGGGGAGTGAGTGGGTGAGTGGGCGAGCCACGCGCCTAGCGTTCACCTGCTGTGTTGAACCGTCCGTCGATTGCGTAGCGACCAACTGCGCACATCCACTGTACGTCCTCTGGGCCTAGGTGCGCAGAAGTATGCGCACATCATTTTGTGGTGCGGAGAGGGGCACCACGTCTCAGTACCTACCTGAGATATGAATATGGCGTGACGTATCCCACCCCTTCGCCTCAGTCGGGCACAATGCGCACGAGGAGTCATATCTAAAATAGTGAAGCTATACCACTAACTGCAAAGTAATGGATTTTCTTCTGTTTTTTTGCAAAGCAACTCGAAAGTTAAGAAAAAGCTTTAACGGAACGATAAAATTGCTTTTCCATCGATGGAAAATTCCAATGTGTGCTGTTCGAAATTATGTACTCAAGCAAGCAGTTCTAGATTTTTCTCAAGGGACGAGACTAAGTCCACTTCGTACTGCGGCCACTGTTTGGCCTATCGTACCAGCCCCGGATGATGATGATGATGATGATGATTGTGGAGCAGTCGGTAGGATGCGAATTAGCAGGGGAAACTGAAGTACTCGGATAAAAACCTGACAGTGCCACTTTGTCCACCACAAATCCCACATGACCTGACCCTGGCTCGAACCCGAGCCGGCGACTAACCGCCTGAGCTATGGCACGGCCTGAGTAGTTGTAGTTACTAATATGGGGCAGAAGATGGCAATAAACAACAGCAGGAGTTATGCTGAGTCGGCATTTGCAGTATCCCTCTTTGCCAAGAGATGGTTCACAAGTTGCCTGTAGACAGCAGCACCACTTACTGCATGTGGTTAATGTCTTGGTATGAATCCAGCCGCCTTTCCAGCACATTTTAAAGTTGATGCCGCGCATGCTCAGTGAAGGGCTGTAATGGGCATATGTGACAACACACTGTTACTGTGTCTTCAATCAAACGAATTCCCGTTGAACTTCAGCAGGCTTTATGATGATTTATTATGATAATCTTAATGAATGTAATTGAGCAAAGAGAATAAGTGGTCCAAATCTTGTTGAAATTGGTTACTTACTGCCGTGGCGCCTCGTAGTTGTCGTTTTTACAATTAAACGGTTGCCTCCTAGCAACTAAACAGCGTTGCATATAGATCTCTTGTGCTCTAAAAATACAGATTATTGTTATTGGGTTTTTGGACTTTTTTCATCATCCGGTATTCTAGAAAATAGAAAACACGACGTTTCGGAAACTGGATCTGTTTCCGTCCTCAGGCGAAGGGGGAAGACGCCTACTCAGTTGGGTCCCTTGGAAAGAGTTGATCTTAATCATTGCAGTGGAGGGCTCTTGTGAACACGGTAATGAACCTTCGTGTTCCATAAAATTCTGGGAAATTCTTGAGTAGCTGCAGAATTGGCGGCTTCACAAGAAGGGCTCAGCTCCATGAGTAAAGAATACCGGACGATGGAAGAAGTCCAAAAACCCAGCAATTCCCTGTGTTATACAGCGTCGTCTGAACACTTAAAATCTACAGATGACTGTTGCGTAGCGACCAGAACGGAGTCCCAGAACGCTATATGAAATGCCTTGTGCAAGTCCTGTGAAATGCAACACTCCACGTTCTATCTCCACAATAAAAATAAAGTTCTCCGCTGGAGTATTGATTCTGTCCCACTTTCTTGGCGACCTGCACTGATGTGATGATATCGTGTCGTTCCTCCTCGTCCTTCAGGCGCGCCATTTCTACGGCCGTAATGCGCAGACAGGATGCGCGTGAGCACAGTACTGCATTTTCTTACACATTTGAAACGGAACGCCCTGTATAAGTAGCAGACATTTGCAAAGAGAGACCGCTAAAATTGGTATGTATCCCCACCACCTGGGATTTTAGTAACACGAATTGGAATTAAAATAAAAACAATGTAATAAACTAAATATTAATACAAAAATTAAACAAGAAGTTCTGGGAAGAGTTAATTGCCTACTTTCCTTTAATACGACTCGAAATGTACAGAAAAAGACGCGACCAACAATTCTTCCATTTTTGTTTGTCTATCCGTTTCCGCGGTAACGTTTCTAACTAGCCGTTGCCTATCAACATTAGAGGGCTATACAGACTGGTGGGATTTATGATGTACGCCGTTGAGATGGGCTCAGGTGCCATATTCGTACACGTATGTACCAAATTTTATAAAGATGGATTCGGGCATTCAAAAGTTGATTTGGGAGATTTACAGACAGACAGCATGATCGCATAAGCAGAATAAGGGAAGTAGGCAAAAAACGAATGCAAGCAATTTTGGGCGCCATATTTATTTCAGAGCCACAACTCCTAAGGCCATCTGTAAAAATATTCTTTACCGGATTAAACGTAAGTCTGTGAAGCCTCTCACCCCTGGAAGTAATCCTGGCGGTAGCCATGTGTACCGGTAGAGGGCTCGCGATGGACCGATCTCCCATGGAAGGAATCCTCCCAAATACCGGTAAAGAAGATGCAGAGAGTCGCCGGCAACGGGAGACCTCGAACTGCGCTGGTCCCTCGATCCACGCGGGAGGAGATGATGATTATTTCTGTGAAGCAGCTTGGTTGTTGTGCGTCAAATACAACAGAATCTGAGACGCGGAGGATCACGGGCTGGACATGTAGCACGGAGATGGTGGAGCTACGAGGTATAAGACCTGACAACCAGTTTTGTGACGTTTATTGCAGTTCGCACGCCCCCAGTCCCGACGTCCTCACAGGCCTCTCGGCACTCAACACTCGTTTGTCCTCCCACTCCGTTACGGCAACTGCCTCAGGCATCAGGAAGTGGAGTCCATTCATCGGCGACCCACTGACCTTCAGCAGAGACTAAATTTACCGGCAGCCAGCGCCATCTCTGAACAATTCCTGCAACTACTGTCAGCATGTGATTCTCATTACCGTGCTGGAGAGCTTCCGTGTAGCCTGTGCCATGGGGCCTGAGTGGTTGTAGTGAAGCCGCCAGTTGCTCAGCTACTCAAGACCTTCCCAACATTTTATGCAACCCAAAGGTTCATTACTGGTCCCCATCCTGAGCCAGATTAATCCAGTCCATGTCAGCACACCCAGTTTCTCTAGGATACACGTTAACACCCTCCCACCTACGTCTAGTTCTTCCTAGTGGTCTCTTCATTCTATATATGCGTACTACGTGCCCTGCCTATCTCATCCTCCTTGACTTGATAATCCTAATTACAAGGTAAATGTAAATTTATCCTTGTACTTAATTAATTAAGCACCACGCCATGAAGACATGGGGGAGTGGAGGTGTAGCTCCGCCATTCTTGACCTCGGCACTTGATGGACGTGAGTGGTTAGCTTCACTCCCCGGTCGCGTTACTCCAGGGAAAGCCCCCGGTACCCACTGCACAGGAGACTGGGTGGGTCCCAGAGCCGGTCTGGACGCTGTGGAGGAGAGAGAAATCTTGCAGTGCTGGGAACTGAACGCGGGCCGTCCAGCCCGAATGGGCTTGTAAGCAAGCGAACATCGCGCTCGGAGGGACCCGCCTCCAGGGGGCGGTACAGCCCACTTGGGGAGCCACTGTTTCAGACGATGTATAACAGGGTGCCTCGGTAATTAATCACAAATGTTCGACAAGTCCGAACTCGGCCTGCGGCTTCCACGCATGCGCGTAGTTGACGCAAGCTTCTTAGCCTACTTCCCTTATTGAAAAAATGAAAGTAGGCTAATGTTATCACCACGCTGTCTGTGTATCGCCCCTATCGACTTTTGAATGGCTAAACCGATCTTTACGAAACTTGTTATGTATATCATGGCTCCTGAGCCAGTCTCATAAATCCCTTCCATCAGTCTGTGTGTTTGTGTCTCCTCTATTGTTGCTTGGCAACAGCTCGGTAACCTTCCTCATCGTTGCTAGGCAACGGTTCGGTAAAGACGTTACCGCTGCAACGAATATACATGCAACAAGAGTAGAATTGTTGAACGCGCCGTTGCCAGTTTTTACCCAGACTTGTTCAGAGCTGAAAGGGCAGGCACTGTACGTCCCATGTGCGGCGAAGTTTCTGTATCAGGAGCGAGTCGGCGCCGCATATTGACAGGCACACAAAGAGCAGAGGAGAACACAGGCGTCTAGTTACGGCGGAGATAAGACGCCGGTTTCCCAGCAACGCGAAACACGTGACTGCGCCACTAAAGAAAGCGGCTGATAAGTACAGACAGAGATACTAGCAACCCGGAAATGGGTAGAATGCGGCCCTGGGGCCTGTTGCAACGTGCGGAAATGTGTTTTCAGTTATATATTGTTTAACGACGCTGTCAGCATGTGACACTACATAGCGTAGGTTGTAGCGTCACTGCCGAATAATTACGTAAGCTGTGAAGTTCTCGCTGTGTGATTTGAATTCCACTTTCTGAGTCCGTTGAAACTCAACCGACGTTTCAGAGGAACATGTTGCCTCCATCTCCAATGTCTGCTTGCTACCTGCTTCACGCTGGTTACTTGCTTGGCTTATCTTTCGAACCTGAAGAAGGTGACATGTTCTTCCGGAACGTCGGTTGAGTTTCAACGGATTACACGGCGTCATATCCCAGAATAATAACTTGGAAGGGATGTGGAAGGAGCATTAGTGGCCTAATTTGAGATACTATCCCAGCATTCGCTTTCAAGAATTGGTCTTGCTGATAGGCTCATACTCAGCCGGTTCGGTTCTTACGCGGCCCAGAGTTTTCATTTTCGTATTCACAAAAGCCCAGGAGTCAGTATAGCGACTGGCTACGGGCTGGACGGCCGAGTGGTCGGAGTTCGAGTCCCGGTATGGTCAAGCATCTTCTCTACTCGGCAGAGTCCAGACCGGCTCTGGGGCCCACCCAACCCCTTATCCAGTGGGTATCGCGGACTCTTTCCCTAGAGGTAAAGCGGCCGGGGCGTGAAACTGACCACTCACCTCCAACTAGTGCAGAGGTCAAGTAAATGTGGATCTATACATCCACTCCCCCATACGCCTTCATGCCATAATGCGTAATTAGTTAAGCACAGGGACAACTTTACCTCTCTTCACAAAAACGCGTCACTGTTTCGTGTTCACAGTCGAACACAATCCACACTGTCCCTTAACATTCCTCTTAAGATGTATGTTAATGTTACCTTCCCTTCTACGGCCTGGTCTTGTAGGTGATTTCCCGATCAGCAGTTTGTGTGCATTTCTCGTGTCCCCTATACATGATAGTACGACGGAAATGTGAGTTCTGTCGGCCGCGGTGTGTGTATTTTCATTCTGTGCTGGAACAATTAGACCGACCCGAGGTTCGTAGGTATGAAATGATTATTAACAATGAAATTATGTATTGTGATTATTTATAATTCATCTGGCTCACGATTTACAAATTATGGTAACATTTTTAAGCACCCTACGCCTATTGCTACAAATTAGGCAGTCACGTGACGTGTAGTGCACAACAATATACACTTTGTGTCAGCCAAGCAAATGAGGCACTTTATGGCTACTGTGAGATTTAAAAAGGTCCAATATGGAAACTGGTTTAAAAATGGTGTCTTCAGTAGAAGAGGCTCTATGTGGAGAGAGTTACTCTGATGTTCAGCCCTTCTGTACATGTCTAGATACAAAGAACATCCGAGTTGCAGTGACCATGTTTCTCAGTCCTCTTCCGTTTCCGCCAACCAGATGTCTGAAGTGCAGTCTCCCCCGGGGTACCTGCAACATGCATCTTTGTGTCATCTCTCGGGCAGAGTTTACACCAGCCTCTGTGGCCTGGTGGCCAGGGTTCCTGCCTACAGATCCAGAGGTCCCGGGTTCGATTCCCGGCGCTACCAGATTTTCCGAGAAGTAGTGGGTCTGGAATAGGGTTCACTCAGCCTCGTGAGGATAACTGAGAAGCTATTTTAAAGGAAATAGCGGCTCCGGTCTAGAAAATCGAGATTAACGGCCGTGGGGATCCGTTGCGCTGACCACGTGACACCCTCTATCCGCAAAAGTTGGCACTAACTTCGCCGACAAGCGGCGGTTGCTCGGTCGGTATAGTTCGCTTGCCGACCAGAAGCGACAGAGTTTGATTTGTGTGATGCCTAGCACGACACAGCACGATTCAATTGAGAGCAGGGCTCACCAAATTTACAGAACGTGACAATTTTCAGAAGTTGGGGAGGTGCAAACACGCAGATAGAATGGCACAGGTGTTCAGGTAACCGCCCTCTGCATAACAGGTTTTATATTAAGTTCACCTGTACAAAAGGAAATGACAAATATTCTTTCCCCGAGCTCCGTATGATTCATGAGCCACAGTTTGATCACGTGAGTTGTAGACCTTGCCTTGTTCGCGTAAATATTTACACCTGAGTGCTGGAGTGTCCTATCTCCGCTTTCGGGCAAAAATGAGATAAAGCACGTCTCTGCTACTCCGTGTCGTGTTGCACTGCGTCCACAGAAACCAACAGACCGATTTTGATAAAAACAGTAAGCCAAGCAAGGTACGAGCTCTGCTTACTTGCTTCATTCTAGACCTTGAAGAGGGAGGCAATACGTTCCACCGATAAAAAAACTTTTATCAGGCTACACGGCGTCACATCCCCATAAGATAGTAGTCTTGCTTGTTCTCTGCTTAGCTGCATATCGCATGAGGCCAGCAGCTTCTGGCTGAACGGTTGCTGTCTGAGTGACGGCGCCGTCTCCGGCGTCGTGACGTCAGCAGCAGCCTCGGCGTCGTCTTACAAGAACCAGAATTCACCAAACCAGTTTACTTGGAACCGGCTGGAGGACCCAGCAGTTGGGGCAAGAGAATTTTCTCGTCTCTACTGGGTCCAGACCGGGGGCCTGTTTACTCAGAGATAAAGCGGCCAGAGTGTCTAGCTGGCCACAAACGTTCTCTAGTACTGACGTTAAGAATGGGAGGAGCAATATCTCAATTTCCCACATTCGTCTTCATGACGTTAAACAGCATCCGTTGTCTGACGCCATCTGTTCGACACTTAGAGCAACTACGTCCTCCGTGGGTGCAAACATACGTGTATTTACATGAAACTGGTTTTTACGTCAAATATAACGGAATACAAATTAGATTTTGAACTTACGGGCAAAATTTTGACTTTCTGTACACACCAGTTGTGACCAACAGGTTTATCAATAGTACTTAATTCGTAGCTCCTGTCTCCATAGTATTTGCCTTACGCAAAATTGGGAGACCCAGGGATAGATGGAAGTGTAATATTAAAATGAATCTTACAGAAAGACGGCGTGGATCGGAATAGAGGACGGGCGGTGGCGGGCTTTTGTGGGCATGATAATGAACCTTCGTTTTCTGTAAAAGGCGGTGAGTTTTTTGGCCAGCTAAGCGGCTACATACAGGCGTGACCAGAGTGGTTTGAACGGCTGCTGTACTGCGATGTGGAAAGCAAATTATCACTTTTCCTGGATAGTCTCTTTCCATAAACAGAAGATCGCATTAAGTGGAGGAACTGTTTTGGAAGAGACTGTGGACCTGTCGTCTGACAGATTACTGATGAATGAATGAAGCGGCTACAAGCTTCTCTAGGACTCTGGCTCAGTGGCATTAGTTGCAGCTTCCCCAACAGTTGCAGCGACTCGAGCACTTCGCATGGTCTGAACGTGTACACCTTTCATTTGAACACGGGTCAACGGACTTCAGTTATTCCATTACGGGTTTCTAGATTGTCACCGCACACTCTTGTAGATGGATACCACTGTTTCGCAGGAACATACTGCCTCCATCTTCGAAGTACCCTGCCCTTTCCGTTGTGTTTCACACGTGAAGGGACGGAAACTGATAATGTGCTTCACGTGTCTTAACGCCAGAGGGGAAAATTCACCCCCACGGTCTGAACTTGATAACATCCGGTTCCCGTTTCTGTGGCCAGTGTTTATGTAATGGATATTTTATTTAAAAAAAGGGAAACGTCTCTACCCCATCTGCTGCGCTTTAATGGAGGAACAGTGTACATAATGCATGAGATATAATGATGGGGTTGAAACTGTTTCTGCACCCTTTCTTTTCATCTCCGTTTCGCAGGAGCAAACGAATGGCTGTTACCCTTCCTTACATGACGTTCTGGGCGGATCGTACAAAGCCTTCAGATATCCGTCTGTCTGTCTGTGCCCGTCTGGTGACGACAGCAAGAACTGCGAACTGGTAAGTGCTCAGTTTAGTGATCCGCTGACGGAGACTGCGACCGAGTTAAATAAACTCAAAATTACGCACCGTCGCCATGTTTGTAATTATTAACATTTAACGACATCTGATGCGTTTGCTGTATATCCCCATTTTCACGCGCCTCGCGCCAGCGCTTCTCTGGCGGTCAGGGTCGAACAGATTTAACTGTGTCCCTGTGCTTCATTAACCTCCATGTCATGAAGGCGTATAGGGGGGTGGAAGTATAGCTCCACGAGTTTTTTAACTTCATCTTTAGCTAGAAGCGAAAGGTGAGCTTCAAGCGCCGGCAGTTTTAGCCCCGGGTTAAGAACCCCATTAGTCATTTGATAGGAGGCTGACAAAAATATAACAATTTCTAGCTCCTGCCGAGAATCGAAGCCCGATTCTGTGGCCGTCCAAACATTAGTCTGGTCACTATAGTTACCGAACTATCCCGGTTACTTTTGTCACCAAACGGAAACTTTAAATGCCTATCCCTGTACTTGCTCATTTGGCCGTTCTCATGGAAGTTTGGATGACCTGTGAAACCCATATGGAACGGGTCCGGTGACCCCCCCCCCAACAGCACAACACTGCCGCCTGTCAGAAACATCAGGCAGTCCTCGAAATATGTCGCGTTGGCATGCGTGTTGTGATTCTAGGACATCTTGAACGGGACTGTACCTGATCTCATGTGCCAGGACAGGGCCGTCAGGCTCCTTTCCAAAATCCACCAGGAAGTCAGGGTTAAGGGTCAAGCCGCCCTTCTCCGTATCCACGTTGAGCATCACCAAGAATGAGCCCTTCCTGTAACACAAATTGTCACAACATTCGGTTAAAATGCCGCTCTCTCAAACCATACTCATCAGCGCTGCGAGTGGGCAGCCAGATTTTTAGTTTGGGGGCAGGGGCTACCAGAAGGTTTGCTTGCAAACTTCCGTTTAAGCCGTTTAAGATTATTGTCAGCATACAATAACGTACTCGTAAATATTTTTAAATATGTGTCCTACTGATTTTTCGTATATTCCCTCCTCCTTCTCGCAATTTTCATTCTCTTTAAAGAAATCTCCTTATTTGCCCCTCCTGTGTCCGAGCTGAGAGGCAGAGCGCGGCACGAAGCAGGCCTCCGAGCCAGTGGAACATCCAGTTCAACGCAGCATCGATTTTCCGATTACTCTTCCTGTTCAACTGTTGAAGTACCCCTTTCTTGAACATGATGAAGCGCCCAAGCCCGGAATGGTCTGGCCAGACAAATGCAAATCATTTTGTAGCTGCAACAAATACTTACTCAACGACATCCGGGTAGAACTGCTTGTCCCAGGGAGAGTAGAGAGAGGAAGTGACGTAGAGACGCTTCCCGTCCAGACTGAGCTGCAGCATTTGGGGTGATCCATAGAGGCGATGTCCTTTCAGGATTACAGGTTCCGGTTGTTCCTGTAAACATCGATCCCGTAACAACTGAACAACAAAAGCACAGGATCTAAGCAAGAATGTAAACAAAATATCCGGATAGACTTTGTGACGCCTTCTCTCCTATGGTCATGAATCCCGTGGGACTCGGAAACAAGAATCGCAGTGAAGAAAGCAGTCTTCTGGGCTTTGGCGCCGTGTATGGCGCCAAAGCCCAGAAGACTGCTTTCTTCATAGTCACCGCCGTGAAAGCCTCAAATCTTACAAGAATCGCAGTGCTGGCGAGGGCCAGCAGCAATTAAGCAGTCAAAAGATACTGATCGTCACTAACCGACAGTTCCTTGTCCTCCACGACCCTGACTGGCCCATCCTTCTGTATGCTGCCTCCCAGGAAGATCTGACCCACAAGACGAGGGTTCTGGGGGTCACTCACGTCGTACTGACGGACGTCTCCGTGTAGCCAGTTGCTGAAGAACAGGAAGCGGTCGTCCAGGGACAGGATGATGTTCGACATCAGGCCTGGTTTGAATTGAACCATGGTCAGCAGACGGAGTCTATAGCTAACCGAGTTCACCCCCCCACCCCCCACCCCTTCTGTGTATATTGGTCCAAAGACATGGACATGGTGTCTCGTATGCGAGTGGCCCTGACTGCATTACTTTGGAAATGAAGCTGACTGTTGCATGCTGAGCGCTAATAAAGCTCGTTTTGAGAAAACAAGAGCGTTCCCGCTAGTGCCGCCGCAGGGCGTACCTTTTGAAATAATTACAACAGGTAAAGTCCTTGTGCTTAACTAATTAAGCACTAGGGCATGAAGGCGTATGGAGTGGATGTATACTTCCATATTTTCGTGAACTCGGCACTAGCTGGAGGTGACTGATCACCTTCACGCCCCGGCCGCTTTATCGCAGGGGAAAGTGCCCCCGGTATTCATTGATTTTGTGAACTCTGTTCTGGGCCGGGATAGCTCAGTGAGTACAGGGACTACGCTACGAAATGAACGACCTTGGAATCCGTCAGTGTTCGATTCCCTGCAAAGTAAATATTAGTGACTGGTTACCATTCATCTCGGGCAGTATCCACCCGTCCACCTTCTTGGCAGGTATGTCGATCACGAGTTCCGCCGCCCACGTCCCGTCATCCTGCCGGAAGAACCTGAGGGCGAGAGAAAGGTGCACATGTGTCATTCTGAAGAACCATACGGAACACAGATACACTGTGCAGGCAGAATATATAGCAATTCAGTCCGTACCTCACAGGAAACACATTACGTCTCCGCTACAAAGCCCAACCGGTTAATGCTGTTTAGGGAAACAGTCGCTGTTTACCGTGAGCACTACACGGCACACACAGATACACTGTGGGCAGACTGAGGAGCTTTCAAAGTTGCAGTAGGTGGTATATTTAGTTACCACTGTGCTATAAAAGGCTAGGCAATGTTCTGTTTTGTACACTCCTTTTTTCAACCGTGAGGTGGGGCGAGACCGACTCCGCTCGGTACAGCGGCCATGTGCCATCCCCGAACGGGTGGTTGGTTGGTTCAGAATTGGCCGGGGAACCGAACTGTTCGGAGAAAACTCGCCTCAGTAACAATAGGTTCACCACAGATCCCACATTGCCTTGTCTGGCATCGAAGTCGGGTCACTGCGGTAGGAAGCCGTTGACTAATCGTCTGAGCTGTTTAGACAGGTTTACTCAAAATGACCCTTGAAGAAGTTTCCGTTGTATACAGGTTCTACTGCGACGAACCTCTCTACTGTAGCAGCTGCGTGTTGTGTGATGTGGGCACTCACCTGAACACTTTGGAGTACATCGCGCAGCCCACGAAGCCCTGGGCCTGCCGCGGGTCATGCAGAAACCTGATCTCCAGCGGGGTGATGCCTTGAGGTCCCAGGTCGATCGTCTGTACCAGGCGACGTTCCTTCCACGAGAAGACGTTCAGTGATCGCCCGTACAGCTCTGCAACACGCGCACCTGCCTCAGTGTTGAGGGCAGTTGCTATGGCAACAGACAGGGGGAAGTACCAGGGTCTCATTTCAGTCACGAGTGACTTCGGGGGGGCCTCATGTTGGCCAAACTGGTACTGCAGTTCCTTTTGTATTCCCCTGCTAACCACCATTGCACTATACCCGCCTATCACCGCCCCCTGAGCTGTGCTATAGCCCTGATCACGCAGCACATTATCATATCCTCGGGCATCAAGTTGGGGGCTTCATCTCTGTCCGGCGCTTTGCCGATTACAGAGGGAGGAAGTTATTTGTTATATACAGGGTGTCCCAGTAGGAAATACCACTATTCTGGGAGGTCACAGTATCGGTCATTCTTAGCGATAGAGTGTGTATGTACGTGTGTCCTATTATGAACGGTTTCCGAGATACAGCTGTTCACTGTACAGACACAAAACTGTTGATAAGAAAGAGATATTACGTGCTGTTTCTAATGCCGGTATTTATTGTTCAGTGACAAAGTTGGTACAGTTCACCTAGTACAATACATTTGCGAAAATTCCACCGTCAACATCAATGCACTTTGCAACTCGTGTGAGGACACGGCGTGCTGCTCGTCTGCACAGTGTACAGTGCAGTGAAATAGCTCTATCTCGGTGCAACTCCTGTGAGGACACGGCGTGTTGCTCGTCTGTACAGTGTACAGTGTACTGTGCAGTGAAATAGCTCTATCTCGGTGCAACTCGCGTGAGGACATGGCGTGCTGCTCGTCTGTACAGTGTACAGTGTACTGTGCAGTGAAATAGCTCTATCTCGGTGCAACTCGCGTGAGGACATGGCGTGCTGCTCGTCTGTACAGTGTACAGTGTACTGTGCAGTGAAATAACTCTATCTCGGTGCAACTCGCGTGAGGACATGGCGTGCTGCTCGTCTGTACAGTGTACAGTGTACTGTGCAGTGAAATAGCTCTATCTCGGTGCAACTCGCGTGAGGACATGGCGTGCTGCTCGTCTGCACAGTGTACAGTGTACAGTACAGTGAAACAGTTCTATCTCGGTGCAACTCGCGTGAGGACATGGCGTGCTGCTCGTCTGTACAGTGTACAGTGTACAGTACAGTGAAATAGCTCTATCTCAGAAACCGTTCGGAATAGGACACATGTACGTGTACATTTTGTTGCTTAGAATGACCGATACTGTGATCTCCAAGAATATTGACCCTTCCTCCTGGGACACCCTGTATATATGCAGACACACAAGTTCAGACATGAGAAAACTTCGTATAATGTAATCAGGAATGCAATAATTACAGTAGCATTTCCGCTGGGAAGCTGGGGGCTTCAGACCAAAGCAGGAAACGCCGTCTGCTCAGTTCCAGCGCGCTTTACCTTGAGAAAGTCATTTCTAGCTTTAATACGCCATAAACATTCCCAACAGCGCGCATGTAAGAAGGAATCCACGAGCCTGCATTGTCATAATCTCATCTTAGGCTCCACCCACTACATGAGCGAAGGTGCGTCATCGTCAGTTAGTGACGTAGACCGTTACGTCATCACCACAAAGTTACGAGCTTCTATTTTCAACATTCTTCCGATATTCATGTGCCGGTGGGAACCTCAGACATAAAAATTTGTCCCTGTACTTCACTAATTAAACACTACGCCATGAAGGCGTATGGGGGAGTGGATGTATAGATCCACATTTTCTTGACTTCGGTACTAGTTGGAGGTGAGTGGTCAGCTTCACGCCCCGGCCGCTTTACGCTCGGGAAAGAGCCCCCGGTACCCATTGGATAGGAGACTGGGTGGGTCCCAGAGCCGGTCTGGATGACGGGGAGAAAATTCTGGGACTCGAACGCCCTACACTCGGTCGTCCAGCCCATAGCCAGTCGCTATACCGACTACGCTATCTCGGCTCCTGGGGAAATTCAGACAAACTTATACAAAATTTTCCTCCGTACGGTTGGGTACAAAAAGTGTGACGTACCCTCGTTGGTAGGAGCCGGGACAGCGACTGGCTACCGGCTGAACGAGCGAGGGGTCGGAATTCGAGTCCCGGTAGTGTCAAGAATTTTCTCCACGTCGTCACGACCGGCTCTGGGACCCACCCAGCCTCATACCCAATGGATACCGCGGGGAAAGCGGCCGGAGCTTGAAGCTGACCATTCACCTCCAACTAGTGCAGAGGAGAAGAAAATGTGGATCTATACATCCACTCCCCCCCCGACGCCTTCATGGTCTACTTACCTACGTTGGCAGCGTAGATGGATTTTCACACGTGCTGGTCACACCCCCTCCACAATCCACATCTGGAAATGTGTGCTGAGTGCCGAAATGCTATTTCCGCCCCTGCAGCTCAGGATATCAGGGATCTGAAAGGAGATGTTAGTTCTGGCAAGTTGTATGTACCTTCATCCTGGGTGTCGGGAAGAACGAAACCTTTCTTGAAACTCTTCGGTGCCCCCCACTCCGAGGAAACCATGACGTCCCAGTGCGGCTGGTACCAGAAGTCGTAACCGAATTTGGCTTTCTGTTCGCCCTGCGTCCACAGGCCTGCAACAAGCGCACAGGATATCTGACAGGACAGATCTTGTGGCGTCGGGTTGATGCACGGTGTGGAAGGAAGCAGCCGAGATGTAATCGGATGAACTGAGGAAACCCAAGAGAAACCTCAGTAAAGATGTCCGGTGTCTCGGCCAAGATTCGAACCGAATATTTACCGAATACAAGCGAAGAGCATTAGTTCTAGACCAACAGTTAGATGTTTCAGCAATTTTGTTGTAACCACAGACGGCGTCGTTAAATAAACAATGTGTAATAATATATATGGGATGAGCGCGACATGCAGCATGCACTGCAGAGAGGAGATATGCATATTGTGGCACGTGGGCCCGTTGCCCAAGCGTTACTGAGTTACGACAGTTGGAAACAGCAACAGAGGAACGGTGTTTCCTGTGTCATCCGTGCCGAGATGTTACAAGCGGGCAGTTATTTGAGAGTCGACAGTTGGAACAATGACTTGGTTGTGAGACAGTCGCCAGCAGGTAAGGACGTGACCACAGAAGCACACAGAAGCACAGAAGACCACAGAATTGTTGGGATCCGTCACCGGGCAACGACTACTTAAGACAGAGCAGACTGAGAAGACTTTATGTGTGGTGTAGTTACAGTGATATTTGTAGTGTGTAACTCAGTGAGACTGACGTAGGTATTTGTAGTTACGTTCTCTAAGTGGTTAATAAATCCAGTTAACAATCCAAACCCCTTCTACAGTCACTCACACACGTGGCAATACATAATGTTAGCCGGGAATTAGGGAGAACAACCATTTGTGAAATTCAGGCGTAAATGTGGTAACACTGAACTGAATCTTAAATAAATCCTGGATAGTCTTAGCTGTGGGCTTTTGTGAGCACTATGACGAACCTTCCGGTTTCACAGAAAGCATGACATATCTTGAGCATTCCCAATTTTAGTTTCGAATGTCCTCACGGCGACAAGAAGTTCACGTTGTGTAAAAGTGGCCCAAGTACCCCTGAGCTCTCGCAGTATCAGGGCGGACAGACACAGGTGCTGGTCACATTCCTCTGAGCTGACACGCAGAATGTGGTAATAGGAAACTGAAGGCCATACAGGTCTATTTGAATACCTGACCACGTGATCCTACCGACCAGTAAACATGGAAATAAGGGCGAGGCACTACCTGTTGCCTCACGTCTCAGCTTCACAGCCTGGCCCTTGTTCCAACCGGGGCAGCTCAGTCAACACAGTGACTAGGCTAAAGGGTCGAGGAATCTTTCTTATGTGCCCGGTAGGGGCAAGAGAATTTTCTCTCCTCCACAGCGTCCAGACGGGCCCTGGGGCCCACGCAGCCTCCTGTCCAGTTGGTATCGGGGTCGCTTTCCCAGAGATAAAGGGGCCAGGGCGTGAAGCTGACTACTCACCTCCAACTAGTGCCGAAGTCAAGAAAATTTGGATATGTACATCCACTCCCCCATACGCCTTCATGGCGTAATGCTTAATTCGTTAAGCACAGTGACAACTTTACGTCTTCTCATGTGGTGCTTAATTACGTACAGGAGCAACGTCAGGTTCTGTTTTTTACTTGAACTGAACAGCTCAGCATACAAAAAGTTTGGGCGTAGAAATAAGTGGCAGCTTGTGTCGGGGGGTGTGGGCTTACTCCCCGTTTCCGAGGGCCCGTCACAGTGCACCTGGTTCGTTTTCAGGTCCCGGGTTAACACTGGCCGCGACCACTTCCTGTTCACCTCACTAAGCTGCCGACAGCCGTTGCCAGCCCCGTGTATAAACGGCTAACGTGCGGAACTGTCACAGATATTCATGTTTCAGAGTCACTTGATGCCTCTATCTTCAGGGCAGAAAAATAAGCCATTCGAGAAATCTGCGGGGGGGGGGGTAAAGATAAATCATGCAACCCTCGCCTATGCACTTCCTCGTTTTAATCTTCTGTTTCTGGCTTCTTCTCTAAAACCTTTAGCCTCGCCATTTTGGGCCCACTTCTCCCAAAGTTCTGCTGTCAGTCCCGCTTCCTGATTTTCATATGCCTGTTCCTTCGTTTTCGCGCGCGACATAGAGTTCTATCCCGAAGATGGAGGCAGAAGGTTCCTACGAAACGTTGGTAAGTTTATATCTGATTACACAGCCTCACATTTCAGGTGACGTTGCCAGGGGGGTACATCCAGAAAATCTGCTTAGAAACTTCTTGATCGTCACTGGGTATTCAGGTAGAATACATTTAAAAAAATAATTTTTGGTACTCTTGTTTAGTGTATTTCCTCCATTTTTCCCCCCCAAATCCAAGATTCGACACGCGTAGCTCTTCCCTTCGCCCCTTGCCTGCAGACTGTAATCTTAATGGTGGAACCGATAAGAGGGACGCTGCCAGGACCAGTTCACCCCGCTTGACCCCAGCTGTTCAGATTGAAGGCTGGCGACTCATAGGGGCTTAATGACAAACACGCGGATCATTGGAAATATCTGATGACTTAGGCCCGTACAAACAGCACTGACATATGTTTGCAGTCCGATTTCAGCCGCGTGATCCCCTTCTTTCCATCCAGCGTTACGCAACGGAACGTAACCCACAAGCTGAAAACATCGATCAGCAAAACATCTGTGTGTGTGTGTGGTTAACAAGACAGGAAAACGTGATGACTGTGCATCTGCTGCTCTTCTGATGACGCGTGTGGTGTTGCCGGTGCTCTTGTCCTCCACAGAGCAGGCTCGTGCGGCGGGAGTGTCTAGACTCTAGCCGGCCTAAATCATGGCCTGCCATCTATCTTGAGATTCTGTTGTAGCGTTCTTTCCGTTTCCTGTCTATTTTGTTTCAAGTATATCGCCTCATATGACTCAGTGACTGGAAATGATGAGTCAGTTAATGGAAGTATCCGCTACGTGAGTTAACAAATGGGGCGGTCGCATGAGTTAGTCGAACGAGTCGATACATGAGCTAGCGGAAGGCGCTCGTGCGTGAGTTAATAAATGGAGCGGGCGCGTGAGTTAGTCGAACGAGTCGATACATGAGCTAGCGGTAGGCGCTGGTGCGTGAGTTAATGAACGGAGTGGATACGTGAGTTAGAGTAGTGCGTGACGTGGATGTGACGTGGCGTCACGCAAAATCGCGGAAGAACTGGTGCGTGAGTTAGTGGAGTGCATGACGAGGATGTGACGTGGCGTCACGTAAAGATCGCGAAAGGAGCTGGTGCGTGAGTTAGAGTAGTGCGTGACGTGGCGTCACGTAAAGATCGCGGAAGGTGCTGGTGCGTGAGTTAGTGGAGTGCATGACGTGGATGTGACGGGGCGTCACGTTAGCAGTCAGACAACCGTTTACCTTTCAGCTCGAGGGTGTGCGCGTCGATGAGCAGGAAGTCGCCCTTGCCATTACCGTTCTTGTCACCCAGAACAGAGATCATGATCTCACCGGACGCCAGGCAGTGCGTCGTGTGGGGCGTCGCGACGTTCAGAGCTCTGAGTAGTTCCCCCTCAATCACCTGAGACACAGATACGAACTGAATTACTATATATTATTTAAATGGATTTAAGGACTCAGTCGTCCACTGGCCGGGAGGATGGATGGGCTTCAGGGCTGGTCTGGGCGCTGTGAAGAAATGAAGCCGTAAAGAATCAAACTCCGATTGCCCAGATCGTAGCCAGTCACTATACTGACGGAGATATCACATCTGCAGTATGGACAGATTTGAACTGACATAATGTCATCATTTTCACGCAAATATTTTCCGCTCGCTCTGCTTGCCACTGGCAGCAAACAAAGAAAGCTGTTAGCTGACTACGTATAACAAGATTACGGAGCGTTAATCTGTGAGGCAGTGCGCCCGGCTGCCACTGTCTGCAGCAGTCGTTACTGTGGTTACTGGCTTTGCGCCAGTGTTGCTCCCACCGCACAGTTTCGCGTCAGGTCGTCGTTAGGACCCGCACTCCGAGTCTACGGCAGTTGTTCCTCATATCTTTTTCTAGGGCATCCTATGTTACGTCTTCCGGTAAGATTGCAAGTATGACAGCCTCGATAGGCGTCACGGGGACACGTTCATATGAAATTTCATGAAAAACTGCCCCTACCTTGTGGAGACGGGGCGACTTGGGGTCTGTGCCGGTGTCCACGATGTAGATGCGGTCACTGCCCAAGGAGGGTAGCACCAGCTTGTCGCGTGTCTTGCAGGGGTCCCCGTAGCAGCTACTGCACACGTTCCACCCGGAGTGGTGCAGCTCGTCACCCACCGCGGGCATCTTGAGGCGGTGGATCACCTGAAACACGTCCCAAGTGTCGAACCTTCGGGTTCTGCTACCAGAGAGTCAGTTAATTAGTTTTGTCTGAATCGACTGAGGAGAAGCATCTCACCTTGCTGTACGTGGGGCTACTGGGGTCCACGTCTACTGTGGCCAGGTAGTCGGAGCGGTGCGTCTCCTGAGGGGTAGGCTGTATGCACGGTATGTACAGGATCTGTTCCCGCGGGCCGCGTCTCATGGCGTCCAGAGGACTCCTGTACCCCGGGCCGCATTGCGAACCTGCGCACAGTGGCAATGGAAGGATAGATCATGTACTGAACCCTGTGGCGTGCCAATGCACTGAAACACAAACCTGCAGCAGTGACGCCACTTCAAAACATTTCTGAGGGTGCGTCATAATCAGATTGTGGCCTAAAGCGTTATGTCATCGCTACAAAATTAATAATTCGGTTTTTCAGGATGCAGTGGGGAACCTAATTCGCCACGCTCGTGATCTGGTTAAACAGACAGGACTCCGTGCAGTTCGGTAGAAGTCCAGCGGCGGTTGAGAGGATCGTACCGCCTCCATCTTCAGGGTAGAATATCAGGCCGACAAGGAAACTAACAATAACTCTGCCGTATATTTACTCGCTTGAGTTACTCTTCGAACTTTAAGATGCAGGCGATATTCTCCCGAAACGTCGATGGACTTGTATCGAAGCACACGGCACCGTAACCCACATGATCATGAGAGTGACAAATCCAAAACAGGGCTTTTCTCCCGTAACGTTTGCCTACCCGAGGTGTGATGCGCCTCAAATGCCGAGGAGTGCAGGGCTACACACGCAGTACTTCTCATGGCGCAGCGCCTTGCTCTCTGCACCGGTCAGCACTGCACTGAGCCCGTCTTGCTGCCAGCCGCGTGGATAAACAGTGGCGCCTCGTTTCGGCGGGAACTGTCACAGATCCAGCGGCAGCAAAACATGTACCGCGGTGTCGCACGGGTGAATATGTACGTCCACTGCTTGCATCAGGCGTGGAGTTGCGACACTACTACTACTACTACTACTACTACTACTGCTACTACTACTACTACTACTACTACTACTACTACTACTACTACTACTTTTCCATCGTTCCGTATTCTAAAGAATAAAAAACACGACGTTTCGGAAACTGGATGTTTCCGTCCTCAGGTGAGGGGAAAGAATACACCTACTTAGTTGGACCCCTTGGAAAGAGCTAATCTATTTCTTGTCAATATTTTTGTCCAGGAGAGTATTTCCCTAGGATGCTTTCCATTGTCCGGATACAAAATGTTTTTACCCAGGATAGTACTTCATCTAAAGGCTTTCCATTGTCCGGATAAAAAAATGTTTTTACCCAGGAGAGTATTTCTTCTGAAGGCTTTCCATTGTCCGGGTAATAGATGTTTGTCCGAACGATGCGATAGTTCTGGACATTTCTTATTGTCTGAATAAAGGACATTCTTATCCAGTGAAAGTGATAGTCTCTTCCGGGCGTTTTTCGCCATTTAAATAAAACAAAACCTATCCGAACAACCATAACTCCCTACCAACGTGTTCTATTTGACCGGGAGAACTTTTTTTTTGTCCGAAACGTGTGAGAAGTTCCTTTGTTATGTTGTCTGTTACCTGGAACGAGGCAATTCGCCGATGTTCAAAGAAACATTTGTACCCTAACTGTAATTACATATGGGGGCCACCGCGCATGTGCAGTGCATGTACACTGGGGGCGGGAAATTCTTTGAGAAGAACATGACGGCCCGTAAACTGCGCTTATTGGCTCAGTATTTTTATTTTACGATCTTACACAATACGACGCATGTACGCAGAATGAAGTGTTCAATTCTACGTGCAAGGCGCGACTCGAGCATGCGCAGTCACGCACCTCGGGAATTTCTTCAGGGCGATCCAAGGTTTGTCCACCGCGTTGTGTGCCACTGATTCGTAACAAATAAACCAATATTACTGCATTAATATCTGTTTATNATGTGCCACTGTTATGCAACGGTAAATACAACAGATTCGTAACAAATAAACCAATATTACTGCATTAATATCTGTTTATTATGTATGTTTCCTACAGGTTTCGATCCAGCTGGATCATCATCAGGCAGTTTTCATGAAATGTACTGCCCGTTATTGAATTGTATGTCTAGTGTGGATCCATATTAGTGATCATTAATATAAATTTCTGTACTGTTCTTGTGTTCCTTTACAACCGAATAGTCTCAAAATGCAAAATGTTATACCGCACTCAAAGAGTTAAACAGTCCTCTGTGTTTTAGCGTGAAGTAGTTAGCTGAGACACTATGCTACAAGCCAGAAGGTCGCGGGTTCGATTCCCGATGAGTTCATTGGATTTTTTCAATTGACCTAATCCTTCCAGCCGCGCTATGTCCCTGGGGTCGACTCAGCTCCTACCAGAAATGAGTACCAGGAATCTTCCTGGGGGTAAAGGCCGGCCGGCGCGTAAGGCTGACAGCTATCTGTGTGGGAGCCTCGACGTCTCACAACCCTATGGGCCTCCACGGCCTGTTATAGGGATAGCTTTACCTTTCTTCATGTTTCTACTATTATGTTGAATACGGGGTTCATTGGTAAACTCTTGTTAACCTAAATTCTATATGTGGAATTGTTCAAGTGTGTTTAGTGCCTGGCCTTTGTTTTGAATGTGTAATATTTCTGATAGACTTGAAAGGATTCTGACGATGGTGTATATTGTATTTCTTTTGGCTTGTTTTGAACTTCATCCATCGTCTGGTATGTAGAAGGCAAAAGACCACGACGTTTCGGAGACTGCATCTGTCTCCGTCCTCATATGGGTAGGGCAGGATAAACCCACTCAGCTGGGCCCGTTAGAAGGAGCTAGTCTGTCCAGTGACCTGAGGACGGAGACATGATCCAATCTGTGCTACTTGTGTCCTGTGTCGAGTGTGTGTTGTGCGTATTTGTTTTGTTTTGTTTGTTTGTTTTTATGGCTTGGATATGTTCATTACATCGGACTTTAAATGAACGTCATGTTTGTCCGACGCATTTGAGTGGACATTCGTTGCATTTCAATTGGTACGTATACTCCAGTCTGGTTTTATATGTGCCTATTGTTCCATCTCTTGGTTTTAGATGGTTTCGTACTGTAGTAGTAATTTTGAAGTGGATCTATACATCCACTCCCCCATACGCCTTCATGGGGTAGTGCTTAATTACCGTATTTACGCATGTATAGGCCGCAGCACAATTTTCAGACAGAAATTATAGAAAAAATAATTTTCTTGGAATATTATTTCAGGAGTAGAACACCCTGTATTACTAATTATGAATATAATTTTTTTTAATGAAGTGTGATTTCGAATATTTCGAATATAAGCCGCACCCCAGTTTTCCTCTTGAATTTTTGGCAAAAAATGTGCGGCCTATACATGCGTAAATACGGTAGTTTAGCACAGGGACAACTTTGAACAATTTTGTCTCCAGGGCTGAGCAAGCTACCAGATATCCTCGTAATAACAATAATACTGATCCTGTGGAACAGAGTTACGTTTGATTGAATATAAATTTATCATCGTGCCCACAAAGGCCGACCAAGGACCTTCGCTTGAGGCAAAGGAACCCAGTTCACGCCGTATTAATTTTAATAGCATCCTCTCATCCACGCCTATGTGACCACGTGACTTGGTTGGGGGAAGCTTTCCAACCTAAATTCTGAGCCCCACTGTCGCGTATTTTCTCGTTAAGTACGTGAGGTAAAATGTAAGTTGTCCCTGTGCTTAACTAATTAAGCCCTACGACATGAAGGCGTATGGGGAAGTGGATGTATAGATCCACATTTTCTTGACCTCGGCACTACCTGGAGGTCAGTGGTCAGCTTCACGCCACGGCCACTTTACCCCCGAGGGAAGAGCCCCCAGTACCCATTGGATAGAAAGCTGAGTGGACCCCAGAGCCGGTCTGCACGACGTGGAGAAGAGAAAATTCTTGACCCTATCGGGACACGAACTCCGACTCCGCGGTCGTCCAGCCCGTAACCAGTCGCTATAGCGACTGCGCTATCCCAGCTCTTATCATTAAGCAGACCAGTAAGAAATCCTTTCATCGGATGCAAAATACTCACTGCAGTGCCAACTCACCTGTCTGTGGCGCCATGACCGATGTCTGCTTCCACACCCGATCAGAACAAGCGACTGACTGCGTGACTGCCTAGCGCTGCGGAGTACACCGCTCTGTTGTTGACCTTGAAGATTATGGCGGTCAAATGTCCCCTCGCCCAGTGTATGCATAATGTTGCAGCCTCATTTGGTCAGCAAAATAACCAGCTTACTAACTATATTGTGATTCAAACACGAAGGCAATGAGTGACTGCTTGTTGCGCAGGTGTAACTATACTATGATTCAAACACGACGGCGATTTGTCGCGGTGAACATCCTCTGTTGCCAGGTCGGGCATGCTCAGCATGCAGACATATGGCTCGCCAACTAGCGGTCATCGAGCGTCATGTGCCTACCGGAACATTTTACGATGGAAATACAGGATGTTTCACGACTTTGGGACGTAACTGCAGGAGGTGATTTCGTAGGTCTTTTTGATCAAAAAAGTTCATATAAAAGTGTGTCCGATTTTGGACGGTTACGGAGTTATGACCGTTTTTTCATTCCCGTACACGCCCTCGTGTGATCCGCGTCTGTCAGCTGGCTGGTCGCTATTTTTAGCCAGCTACAGACAGAGCGCTCATTATCTTGACACTTGAGATGTACCTATAGCGGGGAGGGTTGGTATGTCCGGCGCGGTTCACAACCGAGCGGCAGCCTGTGTTGCGGCCGGCGGTGGCATTTTCGAAAATCAGCTTTAAGCACCAATAAATTCAAATTAAAGCTAATTTCACGAAGTTAACTTTACATTCATACTTTAAATGTATCATGTATTATGCTGGTTTATTATTTTGTTCCGTTTATTGTCAGTAATCGTTACCTTCTGTTCTGAGTTTAAAACGGTCATAACTCCGTAACCGTCCAAAATCGGACGCATGTTTATATGAACTTTTGATCACAAAGACCTAGGAAATCACCTCCTGCAGTTATGCCCTAAAGTCGTGAAACATCCTGTATATATTGATGAAATAATGGATACTAACGCAACACAATATTATGCTTCTGTTAGTGCTTACGCACTTTATGCCTATTTTCATTTTTCTCTACGTACGTAGCCGGAAACGAATATTTCCGTATATCGACCTTGGTCCTAAACTCGAATAAAGATTAACATTTTTTTGTGTTTGTTATGAAATGTGAAGATCACTCTCGTCTGGTAAAGGTAAGATAAGGTAAAGTTGCCCCCGTGCTTAACTAACTAAGCACCACGCCATGGAGGTGTATGGGGGAGTAGAAGTTTGTCAGTTTCACGCCCCTGCCACTTTACTCCCCGGAAAGAGCCCCCGGTACACATTGGATAGTAGGCTGGGTGGACCCCAGAGCCGGTCTGGACAACGTGGAGAAGAGAAAATTCTTGACCCTATCGGGACTCGAACTCCGACCCCTCGGTCGTCCAGCCCGTAGCCAGTCTATACTGACTACGGTTTCCCGGCATTACTATTGTCTGGGATATAACGAATTGTAATATGGTAGATCGTTGTTAACCTTTCAGAGGAACTCTGCCTCCATCTTCAGTGTATCGGTAATAATAATGTCATAACCGCACATCTCAGCTATGCAATTCAAGCTAAGTGTGAGGAGAGGTAGAGGGAACCCCTGCAAGTGCAGCAACCATCACGGCACATGCTAAGCGTAGCCGGGCAGTAAATTATGGGACATTTCATGAAGTGAAAATGACACACCATAATAAATAATACATTTTATTGCAAAACGTATCAAATTATAAAATGTTCACGTTCTTAGAAAGAGAACAGACGAGAGAGAAGCCCCAATCAAAATTGTGTCCGTTACTTAACATGCGGCGTGAAGTGTGAATCTGTGGTCATTCCGTTCGAGACCTCGCAGAACGAGTCTGGGCGAAATCATTTGACACATAGCTTCCTTCTGGTGCCAGTAGAGCGCACTGCTTGCACTGCATCCGCCTGTCTCTGATTGGGCAGTCAGAATATTGCTGTAACAATGTATCAGCTATTGGCTTCATTACGCGTCGAGTCCTGTGAACGGAGGATAAACTTCAGGAAGCGACCGTGGTACATTTAAAAGTACTTTCCCTACATCCACCTGTAGGAACTGAGGAAAACTACGAAAATCCTCAGTGAGAACAGTCGGAGATTCAAACCGGACTGTTCCTGAACACAGAGGGATTGTGCTTGATCGAGTTGGGTTGGTATATTAGCGCCATGTCGCAGAGTCAGTCTTGAGAAGCTTATAGTCGCTAAGATACTCAAACCATTTTCCTGCCTCGTACCCGAAGTTCATAAGAATTTGCCGCTGGAGCTGAGCCAGATGAATCCTTTTCACACCCTCGCGCATTATTTCTTGTGGATCCTTTTCAATATTATCACCCAGTAATTTTCTTGGTACAGTGTTGGTTCATGTCATAGATCAGGCGGCCGGACGCTGGCGTCTCGTTACATGGTCCCGCTCTCAGTTCTGGTCAAATTAGCAATGGCTTAAACCAGCACAGAGGAAGGTTTCTTTCCATTATTCGTCAGCTTTCCTCAGCTAATGACCGCTCTACCATTGTTCCTTGCTCCCGTATCACCGCCCTCTGAAGCGTGCGGCTGCCAGTCACCTCAACCTTTGGTGCTTCTTTCTGTGACCCAGCACTGGGCTGGCTACGGGGTGAGGGGGTTGTTCTTAGTGCTGAATAACGGGGGTGCTTGAAGTACCGGTCAGGTCGCCACGTGTTCCTTACCCAAAGGGTGAAACCCAATTTATAATCCCTTGCTTCAAACTTGTACGCTTCTCCGAGTATAATTAGAGTGATCAAGTCAAGGAGGATGTGATGGACAGGGCTTGTAGCACGAATGGGAGAGAGGAGAAATGCATATAGGTTGTTGGTGGGAAAGTCAGATGGAAAGAGACCACTAGGAAGACCAAGACATAGGTGGTGGACAATATTAAAATTGATCTTAGAGAAATGGGATGGTTTGAATTAGAGCGACTCGTAGGCAGTCATTGACTGTGAGCTGTTATAACTGACTGTAATAGCAGTGCTAATAAACCCAGTCATCCAGTCCAGAACCCGTCATTATTAGTCACGGAACCCCGGACACGTGACAGTATAAATAAAAGTAGCGAATATATTGTACAAATTGGGGCAGGTTTTGTGTGTGTGTTAGTTTTAATTAAATCTTCACAAAAGAACGTTCACATTTGTTACGTAAGTTGACCAGTTTGTCTCGCCCGTCACGTGAGCCACTGAAGACGTGTACGGTGTTTGAAACGTCGGATGGTGGGCCTACATTGCAACATGGCGTCATGGCGATTTTCATTTTGTTTTCCTTTGACTAAGAATTGGTATTTGTTTCGTGTTCACAGGGACAGTTGTATTCACTGCATTTCCCGTTGTACGAGGAACGTAATTCTGTTTATTGGAGCCATAAAAGGAAACACATTTGCGACTCGCCGTCCATGTTGCCTCTCTCTGATATTTCGCTAATAATTGGCTAGTTGTCTGACGCATGCGCTGTAGTTCCTCCTCCAACCGCCGGGCCTCAGCCTCCATGGCTGCAATTGTTTGGGTCACATTGGCAATGAGCTCCATAAGTCCACTTGGTGTAACCTTGGTGTCATGTGATTGCTGCTGATGTTCATTGGTGATATGATGATTGCCCCTTATGAAGTCGTATATGAGTAGGCACACAGCAGCAGTCGTTATCAGCACACAGATTTTGAAGATGATTTTGGTGATCAGATTGGCTCGACTGATGATCAGCATCGTCTCCTTCGCATCTCTCTTCCTTATTTAGTAACGGCGTATCAACTGCTTATACCTAGAAATAGAGTAAAATACTTTACATGGACTATTTTTGCGTCAGGACGTTCATTCTGAGCAGTGGCGTGGCCCAGAAGACTGCAGAAAGGTTTGTATGTCCACGCCGGGTCTTAGAGCCAACAGAAGAACGTGTCCGGTTCTCTCCTTCTCTGGCCTGGTTGCTAGGCGACAATAATTGGCGTTATAGCGCAAAAACGTCTAAGTGCTCATCTTAAGCATGTATCTTTAGATAAAACATCTCTGAGGTTACGCCATGCCCCGAAGAAGCAACCCTACAGACGAAAACCCCCTTATAACGGACGGGAGCCCCGGTATGACGATTTGCCTTCAAATCCTATGTCGAATATAGAGTCTGGATGACGTAACGGTAACGCGATGACGCTACGTCAGAGATGTTTCAGTATGTAATTTGGAACGACGAGAAGTTCAGGCAGAAGTTGTACCGAAAAAATGAAAGATACATTTTGTGTTCAGTACACTTCTCAAAGTTATTGAAGGAAAGATAGAGGGGCGGATAGAAGTGATCAGAAGACGATGAAGAAGACGTAAGAAGATGCTGGATGACCTTGGGGACAGAAGAGGATATTTTCATTTGAAGGAGAAAGCTCTAGATCGCATTAAGTGGAGGAACTGTTTTGGAAGAGACTGTGGACCTGTCGTCTTGACAGATTACAGATGAATGAACACTTCTCAAAGTGTTGGTGTTTTCGAAATACAGAAAACCCTCGATAATTCGGTTACAGGTAATTCGAACCGAAATATGGAACATTCCGTCCACAGTTGAGTGCACACTTTGAAAGACACGTGGGATTTAGGAGCAAGAGGACTTTGAGACTGTGTTGAGGGCAGCTGGAGAGGCTGAAACCACGCTAGAAAATATCACAAGATTGGCTTGAGCTGGCTGAAGGAGACCCTGAATTTCAGCTTCTGACAGAGGAAGAACTTGATATTTTCAACAGCACTACCTATATTATTAAAATTTCAATTCTTTTTTTTTTTTCATCTTTTAGAGCTGTCTTTTGTTTCATTAATCCTGGTGGCCTCTCCCGCTAAGCAACGGGGATTAGTGAGTGCTTCCTGTGCTTCAGGAAGGGCCCGGGAGCGAGTCACAACCGCTCGGTGCCCGTTTAGCGATTACTCTGTTTAGTGTCGTGAAATGTCGAACCCTCTCAGACTTCCTCCGCGTGGGAAAACTTGAGACACACTGCGTTGTGCTTCTTTCCCGTGAGAGTTCGTGCAGCTTCTTATCGAACAGCTGATTTAAATGGAGCTGTTTCCACCCAGCCACATGACTATCAGTGGTTCACTAAGACGCACGACGGAGGACTGTGAGAAATGGAACTTCAGTCAACAGGAAATAAGTCTGCTGTTTGCAGAAAGCGTTAGGAATATTTGACGTAAATGTGGCCACAGATAAGACGAGAGATGCCAGTCACTGGAGGTCACGGCTTGTTATTCTGTGTACTAAATCTTGCACTCAATTAATTTAAAAACCCGTCGTTCAGTTTATTTAATTACAATTCATTTCTTTAAGCAGTAGTTCTGTACTCTGTTGTGTTCAAGAGTCGTCTAGCGCTGTCGGTAGAGCAAGGAGCTACGAAGTTCGAGTCCCGGTAGGGTCAAGGGTTTTTTCTTCTCCAAGTCGTTCAGAACGGCTCTGTGGTTGGCCCAGCCTCCTATCCAGTGGGTACCGGGGGCAAAGAGGCCGGGTCGTGAAGCTGACTACTGGTCTCCAGCTAGTTCCGATGTCAAGAAAATATGGATCTATAATCCACTCCCCCATACGCCTTCATGGCGTAGTGTTTAAATAGTTAAGCACTGGGACAGCTTTACCTTTACTCTATTATGTTAGTTGTACTGCAAAAGAAAAATTGTAAAAGTAAAGCTATTCCTGTAACAGGCCGTGGAGGCCCATAGGGTTGTGAGACGTCGAGGCTCCCACATTTTCTAGACAGTCGGTTCACAGATGGCGATGAGGCTGTCAGCCTTACGCGCCGGTCGCCCTTAACCCCCAGGAATTTTCTGGTATGTGGGTTGGACTGACAGCGCCATAGCTCAAGCGGTTAGTCGCTGGCTTCCCACCGAGGCGGCCCTGGTTCGATCCCGGGTCTGGTCAAGTGGGATTTGTGGCCAATCAGGTGCCGCCGTGCCGAGTGGACCCAGTTGGACTTCACCCCCCACTAAGCGAAATGTGGGTTGGACTCCACTGCTTCAGCATGGAGACCAGTGGTGGGCTTCGGCTTCATTAGAAATTGTGAAACTGAACGACTGTCAGCTTCTCCATGAGTCAGATGAGGGCACTGTGTTCCTCTCAAACTTCAGCGTTGTCATGACACAGAATGCCACAGTCTGAACGCTGTCCCTGTGTTTAATTATACATCGTGACATGAATGATGTATGGGTGAATGTAGGTATGGCTCCAACGTCCCCAAATGTAAGTGCAGCAGTGAAATGTACGGTAACGTGCAGTGTACCACTTGAAGCCTGCAGTTAATCTGAATAGACCTTATAGAACGAGGCGTTGAGAACCGAACCTATACAGTCTACTATCCCATATATTGTATAGCACACTTTGATCTATCTCCCTATCAAATTCCACACGCTTAGCAGCAATGGTTAGTTATCGCTAAAAGACTAAAAGCTAAATAAAATTCTCGCACGGTCGCCATGTTGTTATTTTATACTTTACAATGAGGTGACTGTAGCTAAATTAGCATATTCTTCGTGTATCACTTCAGGGCCCTAAATCAAGATAGATTCGCAAGTCGGCCATATTCTTATGAATGGTCGTAGGAAACTACGAAACGAAGTATGACGATTTGGTTGTGTAACGTTAGTACCAAATTTCGTGAAAATCGCTCAGTAGTTTCAAAGCTGAAATGGACACACATAGAGCATGGTGATCTCATACGCGAGTCTATTGTGAGAATCCCACGAGACACACAAATACAATATATGGGCAAAATGCAGAATATCTTAATGTTAAAGTAGGTGGTAAATATAGTTACCACTCTGCCTTAATGGCTCGGACACTGGGGTATCTAGGCAACTGCGCTGATGAACTATTGAATGAGATCGTGAGATAATGAATTGTGAATTTGGAAGGAGTGAGATCAAATCGGTCGTGGCGTATTTCAGTGTACAATCCCAGCTTTCGGTATGAGAGACTGAGGAAAACTACGTTAAACTTGTCAGTATGTTTACTCCAGGTTCCTCTCAAATACAAGTGCAGTGTTATTAGAATTAAAAAAGGTAAATCTATCCCTGTTAACAGGCCGTGGAAGCCCATAGGTTTGTGAGACGTCGAGGTTCCCACATTTTATCTAGGCAATCGGCTCGTAGATGGCGGTGAGGTTGTGAGCCTTACGAGCCGGCGATATTAAATTTGAGAACATGGGTTGGGGTGGAATTTGAATCTGGCTTATAAGATCACGATGTTCTACGAGTGCCCCTCTTTCAAATTTTGAATTAGATGACCGATTTTCACAAAATTTGGTATGAATGTTATGCCATTATAGGACAACCTTACGCGTACATTTGAGATTCCTACTATGAATAGTATCATCATGGGAGTACTGAAAGCGAGACTTAATTTGGAGTCCTGAAATGATGCTTGGTTACAGATCTTCGAAAAATATGCAACTGTTGTTCAGGCTACGTTTGTTATAAAATGTACGATAATGACAAAATGGTCGTCCTGCCGGTTTGATGGTGATATCTAATGAACCACTGTAGCCAGTCACGAGAAATTTTGTGTTGATGTAGAACATAAATTTCCCACTAGGTTATGTATGAAAAATTTTTGGTAAGTCGGCGTTTACTAACATGGTAACCGTGCGCAACTTTGAGGTTATATCCGACAAATGTAATGTAGACAAAATATGCACTTAAAATTCTTCATAAAATTGAACACGGTAATAGTACTAAAACTCCATGCCCAGAAATATATGCACTAGAGAAACGGGGGTTAGGAACCTGACCCGGAAGTCAGATTTTGCAATGCGGAAGTGAGGAGAGATGTCTGCAATAAGATGGTGGCTGCTATGCAGACAAGATGGAGACAATTATAAAGATGGTACGTACCTGTGAAATTGTTGTGGCAACTAGTGTCATCTGTGAGTGACCTCCATCACGTGTTGCATATGCTACACTGCTCCACACTGCATCCTGCTCAATGAAGGACACCCTCGACGCATGCGCAAACAGTACAATCAATAAACCATTCATACGATATTGATCTAACGTCTTCAACTATTTTATTAATATCAAACGCGAATACCCCACATAACGATGTAATATTATCGTCTTTGGCGTACTGGTAAGGCGATTCTGGTCATGTGAGACATGTTTCGGTAGTTTAATTACTTGGTGGGAGGTAGAGACACCTGGGGGAACGATGTTATGTTCTGTTTTATAGGGCCATTTGTTTGTGTCCATATGCCAAATCCGACAATTAAAGAACTGGACAGATTAGAGACAGAAGGTTAGAGAAAAATACGTAACGAGGAGCTTCATAATTTGTACTCTTCGTAGAATATTATTACAGTGATGAAATCTAGAAGGATAGGATGGGCGACACATGTAGCACTGCTTAATTAAAACTGGTCATGTGCTTCATTAAGCATCGCGCAATGGGGAGTGGAGGTATAGCTCCATTACTTCTTAATTTCGGGACTAGATGAAGATAACTGATCAACTTCACGCCTCGGCCGCTTTACTCCCACGGAAAGAGCCCCCAGTACTCACTGAACAGGAAATTGGGCACCAGAGCTGGTTTCGACGCTGTGGAGAAGCGAAAAATCTCTGACCTTGCCAGGAATTGAATCTCGATTTCTCGAATGTCCAGCCCATTACACAGTTGTCTTACCAACTGAACTATCCTGGCTGGAGGAAATCACGTGACGAGGAGCCTCATAGTTTAAACTCTTTATTATATACTATTTGGGTGTCAAAATAAGGAGGATGAGATGGGTTGGATATGTAGCATGAATGTATGTGAAAATAAATACAAAATTCTAGTTCAAAAACTTGATGAAAGAGGACTAGGTAGGATACCCACACATTAATGGGAGGATAATATTAATATGGATCTGAAATAAATAGGAGAGTGAGTACATGAAATTAGATTCATGTGGCTCACGACAGGGTCCACTGGCGAGCTGTTGTGAGCACGGTGACCATCCTTCGCGTTGTGATAAATGCCTGTGGGTCCCTTCATCACACTGACAAAATAGAACAAGCTCAGTACGTTCTTATGATCACGTGCAACGATGTCCTTAAAGAAAAGCTTAGTGCACCCATGACTTTGCGAAGACTGTGCATGATCTCCTGTAAGTTGCTGTGATATGGTGTGAGCTGTGAAGTGGGGAATTCCCCGTTGCCTGCCGCGCACCAATCAGCGCGCAGTCTTCAAGTCCACCGCCTGCTTGACGGGCTGGTACTGATCCTTGTGCTTCTTGGGGAGGGTCCAGTGCACGATGGGACTCAGGAGGTCCGGGTGCAGTTCCCCAGGGCTGGTGGCTCCGGTGAGGAAACTCACGACGAGTCCAACGACGATGACGGTGAAGCAGCCCAGCACGTTGAAGTACAAGTAGGAGAGACGGTACAGCACGAAGGGCTGCTCTGGGCTCGAAGCTCGGCCCAAACTGCAACACAAGTCAGCAGGCTGTACACATGGAGCACAGGCCGGCATCTTCCGTGGAACCAGAATGCTCATTACCGCGCTCACAAGAGCTCGCCACCGGACGTATACACTCCACACCGTCACACCGTCTCTATTTAAGATACTAGAAAAAGCAATTAAGCACCACGCCATGAAGTCGTTGTTGAGGTGTAGCTCCACGCATTCTTAACCTCGACAGTATATAGAGGTGGGTGGTCAGTTTCCTTCTCTGGCCTTTTTATCTCCAGGGACAGAGCTCCCGGCACCCATTGGATAGGAGACGGGGTTGGCCCCGGGGGCGGTCTGCTCAGTAATTTAATAATAATAAGTCCATGATTCCGGTTGATGGCATGGGGCTTAGACATAAGGATACTATACTCTACAGCTGTATATTTCTTAAAGTCTGTCTAAATCATCTGTAAGTATACGTCACACCTCGAGTAGGCAACCTTACGGAAGAAAAAATCCTTGCGCCTTCAAACGAGATGTCCGGTAGGGGGATTTTGGTGCTCGTCATACGGCGAAAACAGGATCTAATGGCTTTCTCATGATGACGTAACGATCTACGTCAGTATCTGATGATGACGCAGTTTACCTGTCGTCAGGCATGGCGAGAGGGTGAACTGGCTGCGTTAGGTTGCCGGTGCAGCCCTCTGTGGACATGGGCTTCCAGGGAAACTTGATGGCGCCTCTAGCGATCTCGGTCTGGGCGCCTATGACGATCCAGCTCACAAACAGGAGACTTGTGATGCCGCCCACAAGCGCGCCCTGAAACACAGTTTCACACTTCAACATGTGTTAGAGTTTGGGCTCTCAAGGCAGTGACAGTATTTCAGGCTGTAACGCCCTGTAGTTAGGATGGAGCCCGACGTTTCGAACGAATATATTCCCTTCATCTTCAAAGTCCGAAGAAACCAGCAGAAGGGCACAGCTTGCCGTCTGTTTCTGCTGCTTTCTGTCAAGGCTTAGTGTTCAATCCTGAAGAAGGAGGCGGTAAGTTTCTCCGAAATGTCGAACGCTCTGCAAACTAAACTTTGTTACAACTCAGATGGACGCTGCCTGCAATTTGACGTAAGTTCGTGCATGGGCATGTAGGATGAAAGTGGGCCGTTATAGATTTCGTACTGATCGGTGCAGGAACTTTCCTTACACAAGGATACAAGTACTGTTCAGGTGAGGACATCGCAGCCCGTTACTGAGGACACATTTTCAACTTTGTGTCGCTTCATGGGGAAATTAAGAGGAGACTGAACTCGGGTAATTCTTGCTACCATTCAGTCCAGAACCTTTTGTCTTCTCGTCTGCTGTCCAAAAACATATAAATTAGAATATACAAAACTATAATTTTGCCTGCGGTTCTGTATGGGTGTGAAACTTGGTCTCTGACATGAAGGGAGGAACATAGACTGAGGGTGTTTGAGAACAGGGTGTTGAAGAGAATATTTGGACCGAAGAGGGATGAAGTGACAGGAGGTCGGAGAAAACTGCATAATGAGGAGCTTCGAGACTTGTACTCTTCTCCAAGTATAATTAGAATGATCAAGTCAAGGAGCATGAGATGGGCAGGGCATGTAGTACAAATGGGGGAGACGAGGAATGCATATAGGATGTTGGTGGGAAAGCCAGAAGGAAAGAAACCAGTAGGAAGACAAAGACGTAGGTGGGTGGGTAATATTATAATGGACCTGATGGGTTGGTATGGACTGGATTGATCTGGCTCAGAATAGGGACCAGTGGAGGGCTCTTGTGAACACGGTAATGAACCTTCGGGTTCTATAAGTTGCTGGGGAGTTGCTGAGTAGCTGCGCAAGGGCCCAGCCGCGTTAGTGTCTGCACGTGGCGGCTTACCTTGGTGTTGGCCCACGGGAAGAACATGCCAAGCGAGAAGAGACCCAACATGGCACCGTATGTCACGCCGCTTACAGTGACCCCAACCTGTAACAGGGTCACGTGATAATGACTGCGGGCATCTTGGAACCATATGCGGAGTACAAACTGCCTTAAAGCTAATACTGTTTCCGGGGCGTGACGCCTTGTAGTCGGGTAGAAATGTATGGATGTTTCGGAGAATTCTTTTCTTTTTAAATTCGCTTAGTGGGGAGTGGAGTCCAGCTGGGTCCACTCTGCACGGCGGCCACTGATTGGCCTATTGTATCTGCCCCGGGTGATTATGATGATGGAGAATTTCGTGGAATGAAGATTGGCAGGGGAAACCGAAGTACTCTGAAAAAACCCGCACCAACGCCACTTTGTCCACCAGAAATCCCACTTGACCATAACCGGGATCGAACCCAGGCCGCCGCCGTGGGAAACCAGCGACTAACCTCTTGAGCTTATGTTTCGGAGCAATTTAGTCCTCCGTGTTCAGGAATAAGCCAAACAAGTGACGAGCAGGAAACAGTAAACAGAGCGGGACACACATCGCTTGAATTTCTCACAAAGGCGACTGTGAATACTAGAATATTTTGAGATGTGACACCGTGTGGACTGGTAGAGGCTGTAGAGTGCGCAGTCTCGCTCTGTCCCTCCACTGCTGCGCCCTCCTAAGCCCTGAGGACGGTGACGCAGTGACCCACCTGTATGACGCTTCCCAGCTTCTCTATCCAGAAGACGAGGAAGACGCAAACGACGCCGACGACGCACACCGTCAGCTTCATGATGAAGTTGACAACCACTTCCGTCTGCTTGTCAGTGGGCAGCCAGCGGGACAGGAAGTCCTCGTAGATTGTGCCCGACAGCGTGTTCAGACTCGTGGACATGGAGCTGAAACAGCGTGTTGCGGTCAGAGGCGCCGAGCCACGGGACTGGCTGTACTCAGTCACTCCACAGAAACGTCGGAATAGTGACAATGTATTTATTGTTCGCTGACCGCGCTGCCATTGGAGGCTGTAGAACACACCGAGAGCTGCCTCGGCGTCAAGGGAGGCATGAGCAGGTGGAAGCAGACACCGCCATGACGTTCATTCCCTTACGAGTTTAGACAGGTAAAACCTAAACGAAGAGGCACGCGGTAGCGTAGCTGGTTGAGGCACTGTGCTGCAAGCCGGAAGGCCGCGTGACCGATTCCCGATGAGGTAATTGTATATTTTAATTGACCTAATCCTTCCAGCCGCACTATGGCCCTGGGGTCGACTCAGCTTCTAACAGAATTGAGTACCATGAATCTTCCTAGTGGTTAAAGGGCGGCTGGCGATTAAGGCTGACCTCACCGCCATCTGTGAAACGATGGTCCAGAAAATGTGGGAGTCTCGACGTCTCACAACCCTATGGGTCTATGTTACATGGATAGTTTTACCTTCAAAACCTAGGAATAAAGTCGTGCCTGTGCCTAATTAGTTAAGCACTATGCCATGAATGCATATGGGGAGCGCAAGTATAGCTCCATTTTGACCTGCGCACTAGATGGAGGTGAGTGGGCAGCCTCACGCCCCAGCCGATTTATCCCCAGGGGAAAAATCCCGCTGTCTTTATGGATAGGAGGCTGTGTGGGCACAAGACTCGATTTGGACACTGTGAAATAGTGAAAAATCTCTTACCCCTGCCGGGAATCGAACCCCAACCGTCCAGCCCGTAGCCCGTCGCTATCCCGGTTCCGTGTTGAAAGGTGCTGAACCATATTTGAATCACGCTAATGGCTTCTGTTGTTATTGCTATAAGAAAGTGCATTTGTTCCTGTGCTTAAGCACTACGCCACGAAGACGTATGGCGGAGTGGGTGTATAGATCCACGCTTTCTTGACCTCGGCACTAGTTGGAGATGAGGGGTGAGCTTCATGCCTCGGCCGCTTTATCCCCGGGGAAAAAGCCCCCCGGTACCCATAGGGTAGGATGTTATTACTATGATTTGTATTAATTCGAAACCTGTCTTGACCACTTCTTTGAAACTCTGAACTACCTCTCTATAGTTGACCCCCTGAATGCCACTAACGAGATATATTCATGCCCTACCATCTGTTCTGGCTTTAAGCTACGAATCAGAACCATTCCACAAGGTGAACTGAAAAACATGTGAAAGACAATCTCGGCAGGGGAAACTGCAAGAGTTTCCTTAACTAAGCCCTGAGCCGAGAGATGCTACACGTCACAGCTGCAAGAGTTTCCTTAACTAAGCCCTGAGCCGAGAGATGCTACACGTCACAGCTGCAAGAGTTTCCTTAACTAAGCCCTGAGTCGAGGGATGCTAAACGTCACAGCTGCAAGAGTTTCCTTAACTAAGCCCTGAGTCGAGAGATGCTACACGCCACAGCTGCAAGAGTTTCCTTAACTAAGCCCTGAGCCGAGAGATGCTACACGTCACAACTGCAAGAGTTTCCTTAACTAAGCCCTGAGCCGAGAGATGCTACACGTCACAGCTGCAAGAGTTACCTTAACTAAGCCCTGAGCCGAGAGATGCTACACGTCACAGCTGCAAGAGAAACCGCCTCGGGTCTTGATGTGTTTTCCACTCACCTGAGGGCAGCACAGAAGACGCCCGCTACGAAGAGACCTGGCAGGCCTGGTATGAAGCCAGCTACATCCATCACGTAGTAGGGCAACAGCTGGTCGACTCGTTTGATGGCCTGGAAAACAGCGCCGAAACGTCTGAACAGATTTCGATTTAACTTGGTATTTTAATGGCCTGCATTATAGGCTGTAGAGGGAAAATGTCCCGTTCTGTTTCTTATGTTTCCATGTCAGATCGTAAATGAATAAAAATTTATATGTATATATATATTTATTTATTTATTTATTANTTTATATAAGATATATATATTTATTTATTTATTAACAATCAGAATTAAATGCATTCTTTAAGCTAATTTGCTAATTTAAACACCGTCCTCGTGTGCCGAATAAAGAAATAAACGGGTTCATTGTCTTTTGTTTACTCTTTAAGAGCCCGGCAATTCCCGCCTTAGTTTTTTGTTATGAGCTGGGGGCGCGCCCTCCGCAAAATGAAGAGGCTTGCCGTCGGCTTCCAGAAACGCGATATAAATTACACCCAACGATAAAAAGAAGCACAAATAACGACTTTATAATCGAGACATCGTTTAATTAACGTTCTTAAATAACACAGCAAAACGGAGGATAGCTGCGTTTCTGAAGGAGATGTCGCATTTCGTGCCAGTTAAATATTAAACCCGAATATAGTCAATTGTCTGAAAAAAAAGATCTTTGTGCAAAGGGGTCATTTTTAACCTTAAGCATAGACGTCGTTAAATACGAACACATTCATTAGAAACTTTTGTGGCATGTCGAATTTCTAACCTTTCCTAGGACCAAAATTTTAGAGTACATGTTTTTATTATTTAACATAAATACGTTTATAAGACCCCCCCCCACTGACAAAATGTTATTTCAAAAAAGTCACAAAGGCGTTAATAATTTATATAAAAACTGATAGTTGCAAAACAACTCTTACTTCAAGTTAACCTCAAATCTGATTTTATAATCCTTTTAAATAACCGTCAGTCGGATAACTAAATATATACGAGTATATGTTGAGCACAGGGACAGCTTTACTTTTAAGCCGGAAGGTCGCGGGTTCAAGTCCCGATGAGGTCATTGGATTTTTTTCAACTGACCTAATCCTTCCAGCCGCACTATGGCCCTGGGGTCGACTCAGCCACTAACAGAAATGAGTACCAGGAGTCTTCCTGGGGGTAAAGGGGGGCCGACGCGTAAGGCTGACAACCTCACCGCCATCTTTGAGCCGATTATCTAGAAAATGTGGGAGCCTCGACGTCTCACAACCTTATGGGCCTCCTCGGCCTGTTACAGGCATAGCTTTACTTTACCTTTTGCTACGGAGGAGGACGTGTCAGTGCGTACCTTTGTGGTGAGCGGGTCGCAGTCGTGGTAGCGCGCGTGTATGAGGAGGCCGGTGAGGCAGCTCACAGACTTGCACCAGCAGATGCCAATGCAGAACACCAGGAGGGCCCTGCGGTCGTGTCAACAAACACTGAAATACCCAACACTAACACAGCAACAAGCACGGAATATGAGATCAGTTGGCACGGGTTTCTGCGTCAGACGTCAAGTCAGAATGAAGCCATGTTGAACAAATGTACTTCCCTGCCGAGCAGGTTACTGTAGCGTGACCAGGTACTCAATTTGGATCTCAGTCGCGCTACTACAAATCCTGATTGAGGAATTTCGTGGATTTTTCTTTTGTCTCTTTATAGAATTTCGAGTTCCTGTCATTACCGTCTCCTTCCGAATGCTTGCCCACCCATAGGTTTAGTCATCTTCCAACCTCCTCTGACGCTATGTAGTCTCTATAATTGAAATGACGTTGTTAAACAACATATGAAATAACAATAATACGGGAACCGCGCCATAGCTCAAGTGGTTAGTCGCCGCCTTCCCGCCACGGCAGCCCGGGTTCGAGCCCGGGTCAGGTCAAGTGGGATTTGTGGTGGACAAAGTGGCACTAGGTCAGGTTTTCTCCGAGTACTTCGGTTTCCCCTGACAATCTTCATTCCACCAACTGCTCCACAATCACCCTCACCTATCATCTGGGGCTGGTACAGTAGGCCAGAAGTGGCCGCAGTGCAAGGGACTTAGTCCCACTCCATGGGAAAATAATAATGAAACAGAAATATGACATTAAACTCGTTATAACTATGCTATAAACATGAGTCGGGATAGCTCAGTCAGTATAGTGACCAGGCTAGGGGCCGGAAGGTGGAGGACTCGAGGGTCGATTTCCGGCAGGGTCGCCCTGTCTCAAGCCACTGCTTCCAGCCTTTCTATGTTTCCTTCCACTGCCGCTCTTCTTCTGCCTTGAAGGGACAGATCCTTGCTACAAGGCGGAACGGTCGCAGGTTCGATTCCCGATGAGGTCATTGGATTTTTCAATTGACCTAATCCTTCCAGCCTCACTATGGCCCTGAGTTCGACTCAGACTCTAATAGAAATGAGTACCAAGAATCTTCTTGGGGTAAGGGACGGCCGGCGCATAAGGCTGACAGCCTCACCGCCATCTGTGAGCTGATTGTCTAGAGAAAATGTGGGAGCCTCGACGTCTCACAGCCATATGGGCCTCCACGGCCTGTTAGGGCCCCCATACACACACAGTTTGGCCTCCAGTTCGGCCTGCACAGTTGAAGACTGAAAGGCAAAACTGACGTGTGTGGTGCGGCCGGCCAATCGTTAGGACTGTTGGCCTGTGGGAAACCCGTCAGTCCGTCAGTTCTACCTGCAGGACCGTAGCACGTGACGTGTGTGACTCAACATTATAGGCTGGAAGACCGTGATTGTGACATGAAGCCTGCCGCTTTATCTGCGCGTGCATGGGGAGGAAAGGGAGGGCGTAAACTGTCACAGTTTTGCCTGTAAGGTCTGTCGGAAGGCCAAACTGTGTGGGTATGGGGGGCCTTAGAGGGATACAGTTTTCAAAGGAGGAACATATGTGTCTTGCGCAACAGATGCGTGGGGTAAGGTGAGACTGAGCGCACCCGGTACAGTGGCAGTCGCGGTTGGTGACGACGGGTGAGCGCGGAGCAGTCAGTGGAGTGAGATGACACAGACCTATCCGAGCTATAACGGCCGTGACGCCGTACTTACCATCTCGCGGCGGACAGTCTGGGCAGCGCGAGGAAGCGCTGCATCATGCCCTGGTTCACGCCGACGTGCGACAGCCAGATGAAGGTCATGCCGACCGTCACCGTCCAGAAGCTGTTGCGGGTCAGGGGGTTGGGGTCCAGGCTGCAACAGAGGCGCGCAGACAGTGACAGTGAGGGCCCAGACTGTGTCATGGCGCAGGAACAGAACTGTGTTCGGGTGAAAGCTTACCTCCATCTTCAGGATGGACGAATAAGTCAAGCAAGGGACATGTATCACGGTAGCGCAGTTGGTTGAGGCACTATGCTACAAGCCGCAAGGTCGCGGAATCGAATCCCGATAAAATCATTGGATTTTTCAAATGACGCCCTTCCAGCCACACTATGGCCCTGGGGCCGACTCAGCCTATAATAGAAATGAGTACCAGGAATCTTCCTGGGGGTAAAGGGCGGCCGGCCCGTAAGGCTAACAACCTCACCGCCATCTGTGAGCCGATTGTCTAGAGGAAATGTGAGAGCCTCGACGTCTCACTCCCCTATGGGTCTCCACGTCCTGTTACAAGGATAGCTTTACCTTTAAGGAACACGTATAAGCCTGTACAAGCCTTCCACTCGCTACTCGCCCTGTTTGCTGTCTACTTCTTACTGGTTGCTTGTTTTACTCTACCACCATGCTGATGGAGGCAGCATGTTCTTCCAAAAACTTCAGTAAACTTCTACAAATCTACACGGCGTCACATTCCAGAATATAGCGGCCTTTGTAGTCACCACTGCGGGAATCTCAAACACGGTGCAGGATTCGTGCTGCAGTCTTCTGGCTTTGTGCTGGATTACCGAGGGGTCGGAGTTCGAGTGACAGTAGGGCCAAGAATTTTCTCCATGTCGTCCAGACCTCAAATTAGTGCCGACGTCAAGAAAACGTGGATCTGTACATCTACTCCCCCATACGTCTTCATGGCGTAGTGCTTAATTAGTTAAGCACAGGGACAGCTTTACCTTACCTGCTGATTCCAGATAATGACCTGAAATTTATCTGGGGAGTCCGAGGAAAAGCACGATACACAGTGCGGCCAGGAGAACAGACACATGTTATGAAGTAATTCAAGGCTCCCACGTGACTTATTGAGCCACAAAATGACATAAGAAACAGGCCTACAAAATTTTCTTCTGTTCTATATATTTTATGATCAAATTATATATTATATTCTATCCGCTGGTAACCTCTACAAGCAAAAAACGGGATAAATAATTAACGGCTACATTGCTGCAAATAATTCGAGCTGGTCGATATAGGTCACGTGGGATTGTGAAAAGCCTAGCGTTCCATCATCCCCTGCATCCATGGGGCATCTTTCCGTGGCCTTAGTATAGTTACTGAGGTGACAAAGTCGCCTTGCTAGTTATGTTCTGTGCACTGTTCCGTGACTTACTTGAAGAACTCGATCCTTTGGCCGTCCAGGTTTCTCTGCCACATGACGTCGAGTCCACCAACCGCAATGATCCCCAGAATCATGACGATGATCGAGGAGGCCATCATGACGATCTGTTGCAACGTGTCCGACCACACCACAGCCTTGAGCCCGCCCTGGAACGGTGAGCAAACGCCTCGAACTCAGAACCTTCCAATCTGTGGAGGGTACGCAATGCTTGGAGCAGACAACCTGACGCAAGCGAGATGTTCCTTGTGTCGATTTCGTTTCCCGTCGCGTGTTACAAATGGGATCTTATTAAGTTTCTAATGATGACGTAACGATTTACATCACCATCTGATGATGACGCAAGCACAAAGATGTTTTAGACACACAATACACACGCCGCCAGAGAATAACCAGGCGGAAATCCGTCTGTTCCTGAAAGCCTTGTGTAACCGTGGCCTGAACCACATCAATCCACTTCACACAGCTGTCCGTATGCTTAACTAATCAAGCACTACGCCATGAAGGCGTATGGGGGGGGTGCATTTATAGATCCACATTTTCTTGACCTCGGCACTAGCTGGAAGTGAGTGATCAGCTTCACGCCTATGCCGCTTTATCTCCGGGGATAGATCACGGAGCCGATCTGGTAGATGTGGAGAAGAGGAAATTCTTGACCCTACCGGGACTCGAACTCCAACCCCTCGGTCGTCCAGCTCTTAACCAGTCGTTATTCCGACTACGCTATCCCAGCTCACCCATTCATACCCTTTACCTGTTTTAATATTGTCCTTCCATCTACGCCTAGGTTTCGGAAGCTGTCTTTTCCCTTCTGGTTACTTCCCCCGTCCGTCTCGTTAACATTTTCTAGACAGTCGGCTCACAGATGGCGGTGAGGTTGTCAGCCCTACGCGCCGGCCGCCCTTTACCCCCCCATAAAGATTCCTGGTACTCATTTCTGTTAGAGTCTGAGTCTACCCCAGGGCCATAGCGCGGGAGAAGGATTAGTTCAATTGAAAAACCAATGACCTCATCAGGAATCGAACCCGCGACCTTCCGGCTTGTAGCATAGTACCTCAGCCAATTACGCTACTGCTCACCCCATAAGAGGTGAGCCCACCGCGTATACTCACCAGTGTCGTGTAGAAGATGCAAATGGCGCTCACGGCTGGGGTTATCATGTGTACATTTATCCCAGTCACTGCAACAAGAGCATAAGTACGCTGTAACGGCACTGGGCACTGTCACTGCGCCGCATTTGAGGCATCAACATGTAAACGAAATGAACGCATAATAAGGACGGTTCTCCCGTCTTTGTTTCGGCTGTTCTTGACTCGAGAATCGTTAGACGGAATTTGATGAAATTTAGTAAGGTTTTCATTTTATAAAATGTTGAAGAACAGACGAAATTGGGGTGTGGGGGTGGACGCAGGTGGTACTTAATTGCTAGTCCTGAAATTGCGTGGGCCGTACGGTAAGATGCAGCTTTTTGTTAGGGTTCTTTTTTACGTATCATGTTACACAACAAAATGGCGGCTGCATGAAACCTGTATACATTTTTCGGTTTTATGGTGATTGTTAATGAACCGCTGGAATCAGGCACGTGAAATTTGGTACGGAGGTGGACCATACATATTGTCAAGTAAAAGGGGTAGGCGTGACTAATAATTATGGGCTTTAGATATGGTGATTAGATTTATTGGATGCTCACAAGTCGTAACTACGATTAATTATACAACTCTAAAACTACAACACAGAAAATAAAGTCTTCAGCTTCTGCTTGCTTAGTCTTGGCTTCAGCTATTGAATCTTGAATTGATCTAACTTCCTGCGGGCCGAATACAGTCACCAAGTAGAACAGTTGAATGTTCTCTGTTGCCATGAGAACGTGTCACAATTTGCGGGCAACACCTCGATTCATACTGGCGTACTCGTCGCCGCGGAAACGTGTTTCACAGAAATCTAATGTTTACTTAGTCGTTGCCCATCAACAGACTTCTGGCTCCGGCTCTCAGGCGTCACGTCACGTTATGACCACAGATCATGTATGAAATATTGATTCTGAATCGGTACCCGGAAGCAAGGAAACGCTGCGAAACCGAAATGCCATCTGCAGGTTTCTCGCTGGAATGAAATAAACAAACGAATGACGCACTGCGATGTTGGCGTGTGCATGAAATTAATTTATAGCGTCTGGTAGAGTTCAGAATGCGCATGCGCATGTGGGAACTTGTGCATTCGGGAATGGGTCACAGCTTTCCAACCTTGTTCACATAATCACTCCGGTATTTTGATCAGAAAATGAATATTAATTTTCCTTACCTTGACTGAACGCCAGAGCGGGAACGTACAGCACAATGGGGGTATGAAGGACCTGAAAGACATGAACAGGTTTCAGAGACATATTGTTATTTTCTTCCTTAATTTATTGAAGCTTCCTGTTGCGAGGGGAGAGGCAGCACACACACACACACACACACACACACATGAAACATAAAACATGTGATATTGTAACCTGTGAAAGAAAAACATTTATTTCTCTACATATCCTCCACCAACATTGGTACACTTGTCCCATCGCTTTACCAGTGGGTCGAAACCCGCAGCATAAAAGTGTTTTGGCGGTTGTTCAACACTTCTGTTTCAACCTCTTCGCCATCAGCGAAACGTTTGTCACAAAAGTGTAATTGATTTACACGACAAACACTTCCCACCGTAAACAGGAAACATTTATTTCAGAATATATTTTGCACTGAGTCTTTTTGACCACATAAAAGGCACAAGAGCACGCTGTTCTTCTGTAGTACACACCTCAAGCACGTTCGCCATTCTGACTACTGAAACTAGCCTCTGAACATGCGCATGCGCATCTGCTACCTAGACTGTCATGAAACTGGACTGTGCTGCTACCTAGTGATACACACAGAAAATCTATGGCGTTCATTGCAGCTGTTTTACTTCAGTTTGTGACGTATTTACCAACACTCCCTCGTAGTTCATGTAGTTCATGTAGTTTCTGTAGTGTCAAATGATGGGATGGCTGTTGAATAATAAATCGATAAGGATGTTCTCTTTGTCCAACTGTGCCGACAGTTAACTGGAGTGCGGAGAAAGCCAAAATCTCTAAATCAGGATAACTGGTCTCGGGTCCCAGATTTGAACCCAGGACCTCCGCACTGTGACTCAGCAATGCTTCACACCTGACTGCGATTTTCTTTTGTACTGCGTGATAAATTACAGGACTGCTGTGTGCTAAACGAACTCTTTATGAATTTCTGTAAGCTCTATTTGTGCTGAAGATAATGCTGCAAAGGGGAATAATTATTTTGTGTCTAAAATATCTTTGCGGTTGCATCATAATCACATATTGACGTGAGTTTTACGTCATCGTTAGAAAGTTACTGTATTTTATCTGCAAAATATGATGGGAACTGAAATCAGTACCTCAGAGATCTCGTGAACACAGAGGACTTCTCTTCCGTAAGGTCGCCTACTCGACGCGTGACGTATCCCGAAGAACATGGCTAAAGACACTGCTAGGTGTGTAAAGGAATTCTCATGTTACGGCACAAACGTGGGGTAAAAAAACTTCATCTCTTAATAAGGCCGTAGTTTGCAGATACCTGCAGTGTCTAACTGTTCTTTAATAACAAAGCGAGTGTGTACGGGCTCTTACCTGGTATATCGTGAACATAAACGAAGCGAACGTCCGGACACTGCTGCTGAAGCGGAGCTCTAGGTACTGCAACAAGAGACGTGGAGTATGCTTAACCATTCAAAGCTCACTGGTTACTATATGTACCACATAATTTAACGTAAAGAATACTCTGCATTATGCCCACACAGTGTACCTGTGTGTTCCGTATGGTTCTCACAGTAAACAGCGACTGTTTTCCTAAACAGCATTAACCGGTTGGGCTTTGCTANAAAGCGAGTGTGTACGGGCTCTTACCTGGTATATCGTGAACATAAACGAAGCGAACGTCCGGACACTGCTGCTGAAGCGGAGCTCTAGGTACTGCAACAAGAGACGTGGAGTATGCTTAACCCTTCAAAGCTCACTGGTTACTATATGTACCACATACTTTAACGTAAAGAATACTCTGCATTCTGCCCACACAGTGTATCTGTGTGTTCCATATGGTTCTCACAATAAACAGCGACTGTTTCTCTAAACAGCATTAACCGGTTGGACATTGTAGCAGAGACGTGATGTGTTTCCTGTGAGGTACGGGCTGAATTCTTACATATTATTTAAAAAGAGCAGGCCCCATTTTGAAAAAGTACATGTCTAGGAGAGAATAAAAATCCTGCTCATGGATCTCGAGGAGATTGAAGCCAGGAATGAGTGTGCTGGCGAAACCATCAATTTAACCGACCTCCCGATCGGTCCTTAAAGTGTTAAGTTTGTGTAGCACGCTAGTCTGTGCTGGAATAAGCAATGGATACCCGCCTGTGTAATTATCTGAACTTGCATTCCACACCTCATACGTTGACGTCAGTTGCAGCGTATAGAAGACAGGCATGTAGGCAACAGCGACCACGGAGCACACGATGCACGCGGCCAGGCACATCATCCAGTACTGCGTCCCAAATGTGTACATCTCAGATGGCGCGCCGAGCAGTGTAATGCCAGAAATGTGACTGGCCGTAAGAGACATGGCTATGGGAAAGACACTCATGTTCTTGTTTCCCAGCAGGTACTCATTCTTGGTGCTTTGCCGGGTTCCGAAGCATCCAAAATAAATGCCGATGACTGTGGAAACAACCAGCATTGAGCCGAACATGCCGTAGTCGAGCCAACCGAACAAGATGGCGGGGGTTCCGGCTGTTGTGATGTTATGATCAAGGTCCTGTTAACAACAATACCTTCGAATAAATGAATAAGAACTGCATTTACTTGGCATGTATGTTCCTGCCAAATGAGTGTATAACAGTAGCAACCGTCTTATGCTGTTGTGTTTCCATGGCAACGTGTAATGTCTATTGTTGGAAAGCTAATAATATTGTAAGACTTGAGGTTTTCACGGCGGTGACTATAAAGAATGCCGTCTTCTGGGATGTGGCGCTGTGTAGAGCTTCTCTGAACCGACGTTGCGGAGGAACACGGACAACTTTAACTTTACCGTACTTTTAGTAGTTGCTATTAGTGTTTGACAGATGACGTTAATTGTCAAATGACCTCGAAGCATCACTTTGAAATACTTGCACATATTTTCATATCTTATATGGTAGATATGAACGCCATTTAAAAAAAATTGAAATACTACTTTCCGTTGAATGTTTAACGGATATTACACTGTTCACCTTAGAAAAGAAAGATGTCGGCTGCAAAAACCTTGACAGTATCACAGGGCTACTCACCTCTAGGTTGAAACTCGCATGATCTTTGAGCACCATATTGTCAGTGTCTGCAACATGAACAAGTAAAATATTCCGCTGAGTATCTCGCCGTTTTCACAAGGAAAGTGATTAAAACGACTTGGAAACACGTGAAGATGCTGCTACCTGCTGGAATTTATGTACATGTGGTCGCAGGGAGCTTTGGATCCCCCTGAACCTGTCCTTTACGAACTACACGATTCAGGTAAACACTAAATTCTCTAGAGCACAGCAAGCCCTATATATTATATCGTGACGAGGGTGGTTACAGTGGAAGAAAAGCTCGTATATGGACACAATTAGTTAGCCCTGGAAGACAGTGATAATTATATGTACGCCCGCTTTAACATTAACATAAGTCTGCATTCTGCCCACGCAATATAACCTTGTGTTCTGTATGGTTCTCACAATCAACAACTGTTTCCTTAAACAGCATTAACCGGTTGGGCTTTGTAGCGGAGACGTAATGTGTTTTCTATGAGGTACGGGCTGAATGCTATATATTCTGCCCACAGAGTGTATTTGTGTGTTCCGTATGGTTCTCACAATAAACAGCGACTGTTTCCCTAAACAGCATTAACCGGCTCGGCTTTGTAGCGGAGATGTAATGTGTTTCCTGTGAGGTGCGAACTGAATTTTTAAGTACTATTAGGCTAGTAAGTTTAAGCCGATAAGAAAATTGTTATTAGTATTATTTCCGTCATGAGTTGAAGAATAATGTATAGTAGCTACAAATAAGTTCCACACACAGTACCTTGGAAACTGGCAACACAATGAAATTAATCAAACTGAAAGTCTTAATTACGTGTGTAACTTTATATTAATGGAAGATACGCATGTGTATTCCGCAGAAACTTGAGAGAGGAAATACATTCAATAAATCAAGTTAAACCTTCCAGTGTCATTGGGGGATTATGGCGTCGCCGCGTGCAAACGTAATGGCTACTGTGACGTCATAGCTTTCGTGTGCTCACGCATGCGCTTATCCAGCGGGGCGTCACGCCAGCCATGAGACATGTTGACACTTCAGTTGTATTTCAACCACAATGGTAATCAGGAAACCGAAGCGATAAGAGAATATTCACCGAACGATGACCTGGGGTCCCCGCCATTTTACTACTCAGTCACTATTCGCGTAGCAGTAACAAGTGACATACGGACATCGGGAACGACCTCTGGTTCCACGTACAAATTGCATGTTACCACCTTCCATTTTCGTCTGAAATGGGGTTTGGACACAGCTCGGCAGACTTATTTGTACCACGCCGCATAGTTGCATGATTATCGCTTTCCCTCCTGCATATTTAATGGACTGCCCATCACAGTGGCCGGGCGCGCAGTGTAAGGCATGAACCTTTATTCGCCCGCTCGAACACTGGGATCGCGGGTTCGAATCCCATTCAAGGCATGGATGTCTTTGTGCGTTTATTCTGTGTTTGTGTTGTCCTGTGTATAGGTAGCGACCTTGCGACGGGCTGATCCCCCGTCCAAGGAGTCCTACCGACTGTGTATAGATTAAGAAACTGAAAAAGCGGCCAAGGTCCACAAGGGCTGTAGAGTCATAGATAGAGAGATAGATTTGCTTGGTGGGGGGTGGAGTCCAACTGGGTCCACTCGGCACGGTGGCCATTGGTTGGCCTACTGTACCTGCCCCGGGTGATTATGATGATGGAGAATTTGGTGGAATGAAAATTGGCATGGGAAACCGAAGTACTGGAGAAAACCCGCTTTGACCACCACAAATCCCACTTGACCCGGGATCGAACCCGGGCCGCCGCAGTGAAAAACCAGCGACTAACCGCTTGAGCTATGGATAGATAGATAGATAGATAGATAGATAGATAGATAGATAGATAGATAGATAGATGGGTGGGTTGGTGGGTAATGCACTTGGTACGGTTTACTTAACGACGCTGTCACGGCTGTGCCATCTCGGCGGACCGGGTTTGATCCCAGATCAGATTATGTGGGATTTAGAGGAACTTGGGACGGATTTTCCCCGAGTACTTCGGTTTACCCTGCCAATTCTCATTCCTCGGCTGCTGCACCTTCTCTAATCATCCTGCCGCTCGACGCTACATTGTCTAGATACTGACAGCCGCTGTCAGTAGCTCAGAGTACACAGTGTCCAATGGTAGGATGATTAGTGAATAAAGAATTGGAGAGGGTCCCTCGTGGAGGCTGGTTACAATACCTTCACCGTAGCAGTGCGAGTCATATAGGCGACGAAAAGAGAACTCAGTGCCTGGGGGTGTAACTGGACCACCCTGTTCCTCAAATTGGGGGTTGGACACAGGGCTACGAGCTTGCTCTGTAAAAAAATGTTGCGAAATTCAGAGGGTTGAAAACCGGACGGTCTGCTTCACGATGGGACAGATAAGCCTGAGGGAGGCTGTGGCTCAAAAAGGGATGTCTTCCCAAAGTTGATGATGAATTGGAAAGACAATGAAAAAATGTTACAGTGTTGCAATTTACGATATTAGCACCGAGTTCACCTGTAGGGGCTGAATAAAACAACGAAAGCCAGTGACAGGGTTCATATCTGTGTCCGGAACCTTACGAATACGACGCGCTACCCACTCGATTGAGACATTCGATCCACCTCGTGTTTGGGAGGTCCCGAGTTCGACACTCGTCTCTGAGACCGGCTATTCTGACCGGGCTCTACCCACTGCATTACCCATATTCATTATTCACCACATGCCGAGCGAGGCAAGCAGTCGAACTTGGCGCACCTCTGCTTCGTATTCGTGAGGTCCGGGTTCACACCTCGGCCCGGAGACCGACTATTCCTTCATAACTTTGATCAGTCCCTCCAGATAAATTCTAGGCTGGCTTCTCAAATTAGGTTATGGCCACTTCCTTCCACATCCCTTCCAATTCATTCACCAGTTTGAAATTCAGTTGGACTCCGTCACTGATAGTGGCGCTAAAACATATATGTATTTGTGGCGTGGGGGAGTGTGACTATAGACGGGGTTTGGATTGGAGAATGGATTTATTGATCACTTACAGGTCGTAACTACAAGTAACTGTAACACTGTCGCTATTTCCACACTTTACATTCTGATGTTCTCAGTCTGTTACTAGACGTTTCCTGGTAATGGCTCCAACAATGACTATTCTTTTGCCCCCGGCTCGGATCTCCTCTTCACAGTCTCCCGTACAGAACTGACTATTCACTTAAAGTTAAAGTCAGAGTCAAAGTTATGTTACGACCAGTGGTCAGTCGGCGAGTCTGTCTTTGTCTCAAGCCCCCACCGGGGGCTTACGATCAAATTTTTATTACTGTCAGACTGTTGCGAGTTTGTTGATGTGGGGCGCTCTCTCTGACGAGAGGAAGGGTCTGTCGCTAGCTATTGCTGCTGGGTCTCGCCAGCGCAGTCATTTTCTGGTCCGAGTCCCGTGGGACTCGTGATCACATTTTACTGTCTCAGATTTGAGACTTCCCTTTCCGTCGCCTCCTAAGACTCGCAGGGTCACGGTAGAGGTATTCGAACCCGGCTCAACATGGAATGTCTATTAACTGACTTTGTCTCCGGCACGGACCACTTAGAAAACACAATTCTTCCATTGTTGCAGTCCAACTGTTGCATTAAGAATCTGCTGCATAGCAACAGGAAATGCATTTATCGAGCCAATGCCCAGAAACGGCCCTCGTATATCCGCCCACCTCTCGGTCGTTGCATAGCAACAGTTGTACACGTCACAATATAAAATCCTCAGCATTTGCAGGCTTATGGAGGTGACAGACGAGAGTTCAGAAGAAGCCTCTTGGTGAGCTGCCATGAAGTCACCACGGCATGGCGGTGTGGGCTTTCAGACATTGCAGGGTGAGTGCAGGTGTATTGAGACGGCGTGGTCCTCCAGCCCCTGTTTGTGGGGGGGGGCTAGGAGTCCCTGGTGTTACCCTGTTACACAGGACGGGCTTCTGGAAACACGGCAATGAATTTTCGGGTTCCATAAAAGGCTGACAATTTCGGGACTAAGTGAGTTACTATTAGCTTCTCAAGATGGACTCTGGTTAGAACAGGGGCTGAACGTAGGTAAGATTAAAAGGTAAACTTGTACGCCATGAAGACGCGTGAGGGAGTGGAGGTGTAGCCCTCTCATTCTTGACGTCGGCACTAGATAGACGTGAGGGGTCAGCTTCACTCCCCGGGGAAATCGAACCCGGTACCTGTTGTATAGGAGGCTGGGTGGGGCCCCGGTGCCGGTCTGGACGCTGTGGAGAAGGGAAATATATATTGGTTCCGCCTCGAATCGAACCCGGTCCGTCCTGCCAGTACCAACTGTGCTAGTGGGTACATGGCGCCAGTTGCAACGTGGCGCCGAGGGTACAGTTTGTGTCAGTCGCGTGACGTCATAGCCCTGACATGCGCAATGTTGACACTGGCAATCAGTTCCGGAAGATTTTGTGGATCAGAATGAACTGCATGAAGGCTGAACACGTGAAACGTGTCAGGTGTTGTTCTCGCATGTGGCGAAACGTCCGGCATATTTCGACGAAATTTGGCATGGAGATTCTACACTAACAGATTCAGGATGAATTAGATTTTTGTTCTTGAGGTTGGATGAGTTTTTTACGGCCGTGAAGATTTATATTGTTGTTGCCTTGGTTATGACACCGTGTAGTCTGTTACGTTACAAGAACTTCTACCTTAAAGACGGAGCCATCATGTTCCTCCGAAACGCTGGTACCCACATACGAACCTTACTTACTTACTTACTCATGGAGCTGAGCCCTTCTAGAGGAGCCCCCAATTCTGCAGCTACTCAAGAATTTCCCAGCATTTTATGGAACCCGAAGGTTTATTATCGTGTTCACAAGAGCCCTCCACTGGTCCTTATCCTGAGCCAGATCTATCCAATCCATACCATCTCATCCTGTCTCTCTAAGATCCGTTTTAATATTGTCCACCCACCTACGCCTGGGTCTTCCCAGTGGTATCTTTCCTTCTGGTTTTCCCACCAATATCCTATACGCATTCCTCGTCTCCCCCATTCGTGCTACATGCCCTGGCCACCTCATCCTCCTTGACTTGCTCATTCTAATTATACTTGGAGAAGAGTACAAGTTATGAAGCTGCTCATTATGCAGTTTTCTCCAACCTGTCACTTCATCTCTCTTTGGTCCGAATATTCTCCTCAACACCCTGTTCTCAAACACCCTCAGTCTATGTTCCTCCCTTAATGTTAGAGACCAAGTTTCACACCCATACAGAACCACAGGCAAAATTATAGTTTTGTATATTCTAATTTTTATGTTTTTGGACAACAGGCGAGAAGACAAAAGGACATATGAACCACAAGTTGCAATAACACAGAACTTCGGATATGAATACAGTGTTTTGTTTCGCCTCCTTCCAGCATGAACGCCACGGAACACGAAGATCAGCTCGTGTTTCTGCGTTGCCCCCAAACCGCTTCACTGGTGTGTGACGTCAATACGCAGGGTTTTATTTAAAACGGTTTTTCGGTGGGGCGAATGCGTAAGGAAATGAGACAGGTAGAATAATCCGGCTGCTTTTAGGTAGTGCGATTGGCTTCACAACAGTGGATTTATATCTGCAATAAATGAACATCAAGGCCAATGAGACACGCAGAATCGCAAAGAACTCACATGGATAAATATCTGACTTCTGTCACTGTAGCTGCGTATGTTATCGCCCTGAGTTTTTTGCGTTACGAGAATTACAGACGCGCAGGTTATGTAGCGGTGAATCATGTGGTGATTATGAAAGAAGGAAGGAGCCATTGTGCATGTGCCAAGCGAGAGAGAAACAGAGACGGGAGCGACAGAGTTACTGAGCCA